CCTGTCTTGAGCAGTGTGTGAGGCAGTCATCAGCAGGCATCGTTATGCCCCTCTGACACAAAGAACCTGATCCTGGTTTGATGTCGGTAACTTCTTAACGAAATATTCTACCAATAGTGTGCAGTAAATTTCTGCCTAATACTTTATTTTTTTCTACTACAGGTAAAAGATCAAATTCTCAACAGTTGAGAGGCGGTGTGGTGTTTTTGAATGAAATCCCGTTAACGTCTACAGGAAAGATCGCTCGCGGTAAAATAAAGCAGATAGCACTGGCCGCTCAGAGGGAATAGTTGTGCAAATATTTATTAGTATCATTATTTAAATTAAACATAATGATTACCATTACCTCGTACCTGGTTATAATAGGCTTGCGTCGCTCTTTAACTTGATACTGACTTAGACAAGCCCGTAGCCTTCAAATACCTATTAAGATACGTTTAGTTATGAACAGGTTCAAACGTTTATGGCTAAGTTTTGTTTTTCTTTATAGATTACGGAAATGAGCATGAGCAAAGTTAGTAAATGTATTTGTTATAAAAAATAATAATAAATAATAATAATAATATGCTACCACATTCACACAACGTCATCAAGTCCCAAACTAAGCAGAGCTTGTACTATGGGTACTAGACAACTGATATAAATACATATATACTTTTTTTTGTCAATACATACATATTATACATAGAGACACCCAGACCAAATCAAACATTAAATGTTCATGCACACAAATGTTTGACTTGAGCGGCATCGAACCCGCGAGCTTTGGAATAGCAGTTCGTTACACAAACCACTACGCCATCAGGTCGTCAAAATGTCAAACATATATCGAGAAAAACCTCATTTTTATAATAATCAAAATATCTTATGTAAAATCAAATATCTAGCATAAAAAAATATTTAAATCTGTATTAATTTTTGTACACACGGAGGAAATATATTCTGAAACCAAAAATAAAAGTTATTTTGAGTACCTATTTTTTTGGGGTTTGTTCATTTCTGCTATAATTTTCATTATTAAGTCTAAAACTGACATTGTTGACGTTTTAGACGATTGATTAATTACAGGAGTGTGAAAATCATGCAGGTGAAAGTCCCTTAGCTACTGTGTAATTAAAATATGAAAGTGCATTATCGCCCCATGAGGTATAATAATGTGACCCAAAACTGGTTATTACAGTCGGTGGCCTTAGTCAAGAGGTCCAGAAATTAGTAAATTACTTAGGAAGCACTACCACATCTTGGATTGGCCACTCGATGGCATCTCAATAGCGTGTCAGTGGTATGACAGTGGCTTGGCGTGAACATAAAATAGCAGAATTGAGGCCCTGTTATTCTTGTCTGATCGCTAGCCTAATGTGTCTTTTCGATTTTATTTACGAGTTTCAAAAGAAGAAACATTATTTGTTTATCGAAACGAGTTACGAAAGAAGAAATATTATTCTTATTTCGAAACTGGTTTCGAAACTTGGTTTATACTTTAAGAGACTTTGATATGATACAACCGATGTGCCTCAAACCGGTTTTATTAGAACGGCAATAATGCGATGGTTTTAGACCACAAGAAAACATAATTTTCTTTTTTAGCATGGTAGTCCACGTCAGATATCCTCGTACAACATCATTAATGTCGTCGTGCAAGCTACAGTTTGTTAAATCTTTGGATAATATATTCTTAAATTGAATATTTTCAGTAAAACATACAAATACGTGAAGTCCAAGTTTCACAAAGAGCTAATAAAAAGATTATGTTAAAATTATGCATAGAATCTATTTACCAAAAGTAAAATCTTATAGCATTCATTCTTTTTAATTCATAAAATTTCTGCGTCACTGTTCCTCAGTAAAAATATAATGGATCATTGGTAATTGTACTCAAATACAATATTATTTCAGCCGATATTTTGAAGGATTAAAATACTTGCAGTTTATTTTAAGAGATTTATTATATTTCGGAAAATGTTTATCTGGCTTACAATGACTTGAAATGAAATAAAAATGAAACTAATCTTAAAAGGCAAGGTACAATAAGTGTTTTGTTACCAATTTATACTGAGCTACGGTTGCGAGATTTATAATTAAGCACTCATAATTGTAATAAACCCAATGTTAATCTGTTAAATTAGAGACCGGACGATTGATTTAAACATTTGCTTTGTCAACGTTCATACAAAGGAGTAATGAAAACGCCTGGAAAATTAATGATACGTGAATACACATATTAAACTATTAAACTCTCGTTCAATTTTTTCAAAAGTTCAAAAGTTTTTTAATGTAACCATTACTTACATTCAAAATAAAAATATACCACAAAAACTTGAACGTAAGGGTAAGTGCCTAATATGGTACAATTCTTCGTTAATAAAAGAAAAGAAAAATACGAAAACATAAAAAGGTTTAGAACCTACGGCAATTTGGCTGATAAACGTACTTTTCAATTATTACGTGAAAGGACTAAATCATTAGAGTCAATTTGTTACACTAACTATGTTAAAAATATAGAATCATCTATTAAAAATAATCAAATAATTTTTCTGGTATTACGTAAAGAATCGATAAAATTCGCGCGCCATTCCTAGTTCACTACTTAATCGCAATAAAAATCAATTACTACAAATCAACCACTTTTCTCAACCATAACACTCGTGCAGTCTTCTCGTCACAATTTCCAATTGTGTCGCTGATTTCTGTCGAATAGAAGAAAAAATGGATGATGTGACCAACTTGCTCTAGACGCTAGATATTTTTTAAAGGGTGCAGGGTCTGACAACATGCTACCCCAATTACTGGTGAGATGTGCACCATCTATCGCCCTCCCATTCTCATTTCTGTTTGTTAAGTCTTTATCTATAGGTATACTTCCTATACACAAAAAAGGCTCAAAAACTGTGTAGAGCGAGTATAGACCAATTTCTAAACTGTGCGTTATAGCTACAGTATTTGAGGGAATTGTTTATATTCAGCTCTATTCTCCAATCTCGAATTCTTTGTACTCTTTCCAGCATGGTTTTTAAGGGGCCGGTCTACTGCCACAAACCTGGTCTTATTTAAAGAATTTACTACCTAAATTCTCAATTGTAACATATACTAGGAAGTATATACGTTTTGCACACTTCTTATACTTTGGCGGCATCTAAATCGCTTGGTTTTATAATGCATGTAGGCAAAACCTTTACAAAATCCAAATTTCTTAAAATTCTGTCAGAAGTTATTTAGATTATGTGTCCCATATATGGAACCCGTGCTATTTAGTTAACATAAATCGAATCGAAAATATACAAAAACGTTTAATTAAATATCTATGTTATCACCAAAGAATTCCGTACTACTCTAATGATTATCTCAGATTGTGTAAAAGGGTTTCATCTCCTCCCGCTTATGTATCGACGTGAAATAGCGGACATTACATTTCTTATCAAAATCATTAATAACATTATTGACTGTCTTGATTTTCTTTAGAAAATATTTTTTAACGTGCCATCTAGGTCACTTCGCTTTAATCCCGCACTTCACGTTCCTCATGCTAAAACAAATTACCTACAAAACAGCTACTTGGTGCGCGAAGGCAGAAACTTTAATAAGGTATGTGAACAGCATGATATTGATCCCTTTTTTATTAGTATTTCTTCGGCAAGAAGGCGCCTAAGCCCTAATTTTTTCAATTAGATATAATGTAAGATAGTGATACGGCTCACTCATGACTGTAATTTTCGGCTACTTTTTTTTTGTTGTCTTGTTTGTCTATTTTTTCTTGTTTATTTTTTTTTTGTTTTCCTAACCCTTTTGCTTACACTAGAAGGGTAAACTGGTAATTGGCTCTCAGATGATTAATTGTGTCTTACTGATGTTTGTAGCTGTCATTTTCTATGTATGAATTAAATAAATAAATAAACCACCAAGGATTTAAAACATTCTCGGAAAAAAGCCGAGCCCTAACTCGACTACATAAAATCAAAATACGTTTAGAGAACTATCTGTTGACTTTGGTGAGGTAAATAATGTGAACGTTGAATTATTTGCAGGGTTTATAGGCAGATGCATTGATATATGATTGATATATCGTTGAGAGCTAGGCTTCATTATAATTCTAAGCTGACTTGACTTGAGTTACACCACGGCCCCACTTGTCTTTCACAGACTGAGTGAAGTTACCTGAGGGCCAAACCTGAAACGACCTATCTTCTGCGGGAGCACTTATAAGCCGGCAACGCACTTGTAACCTTTGAAATGCAGATGACCACGGCTTTCGAGATATTTAGGTTTGTGTCGGGACTCGGGTTACATAGCTAATGTGCAAAACAAAATAAGAAAATATTTCTAAGATTAGAAAAACATTTCAAGAAATCAAAAAAAAGTAATTGTCTGTTTGTTATGCAATTCTTTATTTTTGTTTGTTACCTCAGTAATAAGTACTAAGTATGTGTTAAAGGAATTCGGAAAAAATATATTTTTAGTCTCATTCAAATTAAAGAAAAAATATTACCCGTAATGGTGTAAAATTTAGGAATGTAGAATACGGTTTATTACAATTAATAATAGTGGAAACGCATTGAAGTCAGTGTTACTTTTTTAAAACAGAATAAATTGTAGAATTTACATCATTAAAATACAGCTAAAAATTGAGCGTCACTGTTTGTTGAACTAGCGTATACATACTTACTACTTGCGAATATAATTATGTGATCTTTTATTATGCTGATAAAATGTTGATAGCTCTTTAGCATGATTGAAAATGTACCTACAAAGTATAACACAAAAATGTTTTGAATTACTTCAATACTGATATTTGCAATGTGAACATTGTCACATACCTTATTATATATAATATACATTTGTTGACGCTACGAATAATAATAGCGTTTACGTCTCTTGCGAACCGGTGAATGAAGCGCGCGATCGCCACAAGGCCCACAAGTTGTTTCGCATAGTACAAAGTACTCTGTGACAAGTTGTGCACGCGTGAAACAATTGTGATAACACACTAACAAAAACCAGTAAAAATGAAATTGTTTGATGTAAAGAATGACAAATACCACATGGGACATTTAATTTGGGATGGTTTAAGGAGTCGGCCAGATGCCGTTTGTCAGGTAAATAATTATAAACACTGCCATCTGATAAAAAGTTTACTCTTAGAAAAATGATTTAAAACCGTGTTTAGTGTCTAGATTCCTACTTGCCACTACTTTGTACATATTTACTCTATTTCAATATATTTTAAGTTTGTAAATTAAACAAGCATACCTAATATAATACATCCAACAATGAAAGAAATACCATTATGTCTATAAATTTTATTAGCTTGGTTTAATACAATTCTATTTATTTAATGCAGTTTTATTGTAGAGATATAACTTTAATTTTATTAAACCTAACCGGTTTTTTGACGTTTTATTTTATTTACTTTACAAAATATACTTCAAAAAAATTAAAATAAATAAAAAATAAAACATATTATTTATTATATTCATGTCATAAATAATGAGTAAATTGTTTAAATATTTGTAATAATTAATTATACTAATTATTACTTTTAATGAATATTTTATTTTTACATTCCAATGAAGGTTTACCTTACTTTGTTTTATTTTGTTTAATCGAACTGTGAACAAATAAATTTAAAACTTCGTAAAGTAAATGACATCCAATACTTGTAGCGTCTTAGGTCGACGAACTTATATTTTTAGTTCAGTGCGCACTCCTAACGGTGATGAATTGTTTTACTATTTAACGTTATAAAAATAACACCAGTGTATGACTTTATTTTCCGTGTTAACCGTGTGGAGAAGGATTAGGAATACGGAGTGTCACCACCCTTAATATTAACCCGGGATGAATCCCGTGGACGTCGTAAAATCCGGCTAAGGGAGCAAACTACGGAGGACAATAGCACACTGCAGAGAGAAGGAAAACTTGACACAAATCCTACCAACCAATCCACCCAGCGTGGTATAGAAGCTAAAACCACCTTTCTAAGGAGAGGCCAATGTCCAGCAGTGGACTAATAAAGGCTGTTGATGATGATATATGACTTCGACGACACGCTCATGCAAGTTATTCAGCCATGACTACTCGTATTAGTTGTACCGTGAAAAATCAAAATGATCAGATTTTGCGCAATCAATACCTTGCAACACAATGGCTTTATCCGACAGTGATAGTCCTGCTTGTGGTAAAAAAGACTTCTTATCCTTAGGAAAAATGCTAATACACATTCTTCTGGAATTCGAACTAATAACCAGTCGGTCATAAGTCAGATGGTTCTGCCATTATATATGTATGTGCCATTATATATATGTTCTGCCTTTCTAAGGAGAGGCCTATGCCAGCAGTGGACTATTAAAGGCTGTTGATGATGATGATGATGATGATATGTAAATTGCAAGACGATTTTCGATCTCTCTCTCTCTCTCTTTTGTCATCTATCTGTTGTTGTTGCCTTACCTTACTTTCTGCTATATGACAGAAAAAAAAGTATTATCAAGCCGAGGTCTTCTGTAGGTCGAAGAACCTTCTCTCGGCTATTCTATATCGCATACTCTTTTAATATGAAAAGCCCTTTAATATATACTTTTATTGATATTATGGCTTATCTGACTTAATGCAGTTAGTAATTTCAAGTAGAAAACAACCATATCTACGGCTTGAGAAGGTCATCGATTATCTATCAAAATGCATCATAGATATAATAAGTATTGTAAACTGAATGACTATATGTAGGTATTCATTATTAAAGTTGATTGTTCAAGAAGATAGGTATAAAAATATACATAATCTTTATTACACGTGAATCTTCAATTTTGGTAACCAATAGTTCGTACAAAGAGCGTTCTTATCATCGAAAAATCATAAGCCACACCTGACAGGTGATCTTTGGACGCATATGAAAGAAACAAAAGATAAGATAAGACGATAGTTGATTATATTTGATCAGACTTTGACCAGAGATAAAATGTTTGTTTTGACACCGCTCTCATTAATAGTTGTAATGAATTCTTCAATATCCAGTCAGAATTCACGCCATCAATAGGCGTTACATATCATTGAATTGTGTAACGTTTCAACCAGATTGTTTTTATGTTAAACGTATTACAAAAAAATAGCCGGAAATCTGCTAAATTGTACAGTAAGTAGTTTTTAATTTGACATTCCGTTAACACAGAATGTTGTAATGGGTTAGATGGCTGCCGAGCTAAATAAGTATCTTTTTATTTAACGTCAGAACAAACATACATTGTCGTATGAAATACTATGGCTACACTTAGCTATTGTCAAATCTACTATATTTAACAAGCTTTTGGCCGTAGCTCTGCCCGCGTGTATCTGTTATACTCGCTGATAATGTAGCTTTAAATTGGTGAAAGATTTTTAGATCGGTTTAGTGGTTTAGTCGTGAAAGCGTTACAAACAAACAAACAAACTCACTTTCACATTTATAAAATATAAGTATGAAAGTCTGAATATTAAAGATGGGAAGTGTTACATGATGGAGTTATATGATTTTGGCTGCGGTTTCTCACCTACTAATGCATTTATATTTTTGCTATTTTGTTAAATAATTAAATATCCATTATGAACTAAGGTTTTTATAAATTGAGCTGAACGCCTACAAACTGTTAGAACAGTTTGGCGAATAGAGAAATTATAATTTAACTCAAGTGTGGTTAAAGTTTATAATAAAAAAAAAACAGTATTTTTACTAGGTCTATATTTTGAATGGGACTAATCCCTCCCATACGACTGTGTACCAGGATCAACAAAAGTGACCCATGGACACTCGGGAAGTCCCAGGAAAAAAATTAAACTGTCTTCGAACCCACAACTATATTAATCAGAAGTAAATTGGAGGAGTTGGAAATATAATAAATCCACTTCCCTCCTTAGCAAAGCAGGAGACAAAATGAATGAAGTAGGTCTGTGTTTAGGTATTGTATTGTACGTGGAAAAACCATGCTTCGGCACAAAGAAGCCGGCTCGACTGAAGTGATACCACGACCTCACAAAACACTGGTGGATTTTAAGGGCAGAGTTCAAAGGCTGGCAAAGCACTTGCTACTCTTAAGTTGCATAAAAAAATGTCTTCTTCTGTACTCCTGACGATGTGTTTGTAAAATTTTATGGTAATCTATCTATTCTTTGGGGCTAAATTTCTGGAATGGTGACCACGTACCGGAGGACGGAGTGTGCGTAGGCCCCCTACCAAGTAGTCCGACGACCTGAAGGCCAATTGTCGTAATAAAAGTTCGGTCTCAATTCAGTTCCGATCAACTTTCGATCTCACAACTATCATAAAATGTATTTTCGTAGTAAAGTATTAAACATCCAACCTTGACTGTAATATGATTATATCGTACTGTAACCGAAAATGTAATCGTTAATCTGCTAGTCTTAGTAATACTTTTACTTCGAAAATACCTTTTATGACAGTTGTGAGATCAAAAGTTAATCAGAACTGAATTGAGGCGACTTTTATTACGTGAATTGGCCTTCTTAAGCCCAAGTGCGAGTTTATTACACATCTACTCACTCTTGACACCGAGCGCGTTTAGCGTTAGGTACGATTGGCGCAGATTTTAGTGCCGGCTAACGATGAATGCTAACGGCCACCGTGACGATCGAGTAGAAGTGAAATAAACTCACACTTGGCCCTCAAGCGAAAGTCGCGGGAAGTCGTCGGATGCAGGCAACACATGACCAATTACATAATAATAAATTATATAATTACTAATATACTTTTATTTATATAGTTTTCTTTCGTAATTACTCAGAAAAAAAATTAGTGAAAAATTTTGTGACTATTAGAGTTGGCCGTTTTTCGTGACTGGTTTTCTGGTGGTTTTGAATGTTGAATAAGGTGGAGAGTTCATTTAACTGGTGTCAACACTCTCAGATCCGAACGTATTTTTTAACTAATGCTTACATGTAGTAGACGACGAGCGAAGACCTCACCCTATTTCTAAATCCCTGCGTCATTGTAATCAACTAACATTTAGAATCCTACATCTCTATAATTATCGAGCTGAGAGAAAAACTTTGCACGACCTCTAAATTACAGCTAGATAGAAATAGATTATACGTAGTTGTTATTCTTCAGATGCATTTATATTTTTTACTAAATAATTAACGACATAAGTAAATCATATTTTGAACAGTTACCGGTATGAAAAACAATATCATGAGCTTAAATATGTTTTTAATAATGCCATTATAAATAAAAAAATATGATAATTGTCATTATAAGTAAAAAAATTTAAGGAACAAAGAAGTATGAGATTTTTTTATAATGTGTGATTATTATGACCACAAATCGGTAGATACTCCTATTAAAACAAAAAATAAGAATAAGATTTTTGTGTGACAAAATATGGACTCAGTTATGATATATATTTCTGTTTGTCATTGGCTTAAATCTCGTGTGAGTTGTAGGTTATAAAAACTGAGGACCAGAATTAAGTAATAAAGTTTATAAGAAAGTAAGTAGTAAAGTATATTGGTAAATCCTTATTATGTATATTAGCAATGAGTATATTAATACTTCAATACCTATATTATAAATGTGAATGTGAGTTTACTTGTTTGTTACATAACACCGGTTTTTTGTGAGGCCGTGGTAAACACTTGGGTCGAGCTGGTATATTTGTGTCGAAGCATGGCTCTCCCACGGTAAAATATCAAAGTAATCACTTTACACACAAGTGTGAAAAGGGATATGGACTGCACGGACGGTGTAGTGGTTTAAGTGGTTGCCTTGCCGCTTTCTACTGCGCTGAGTGTTATGGGTTCTGTGGGTTCTATCCTCAAACTCTAACTCAAATATCTTTATTTCATAAAAAACAATGAAATTGAAATCGTCTCTTGTGTAGACTCTAAAGTCATAGATCAACACACACAATAGCAAGAATCTCTGTTTTGTCAAATATTTAGCAAACTAAATATATATGTATTGAAAATCTCTTATATGCCTGTGCCGATCTACAACCGCTCATTTCCAAGGGGTTTAGCCTCATGGGAAGAAAAGGCAAACACTCTCACGGCCACTCTTTTCAATCAACAGATAACAATGGCATCATTAAAAATACACAACATTGTTTTGATGTGTCTTTGAGTATGTAAGTTTACGGACTGAATGGTAAAAAGGCAATGAAGAGAAAACAAGAAATAGAAAAAAGATGGAATAAAAAAGAAAATGAAGTAAAACATAAAAAATAGAAAACTAAACATAAGACACACTAGCCCACATCACATTTCTACTACGAAATAGACTGTGCTAAATAAACCCCAAGCATTCTTGTCTTTTATGTAATCCAGAACTGAGTAATATGCTTACTGCGTTGATGCAAATGAGAAAACACACGCTGTGTGAATGTGAAGCGTTACCGAATGAAGCGACGAAATTTCGTGTACGTATTAATTCATACGTTCAAGAAATTTCACGACTACAATTAATTTGTTCACTGCTAATTAAGAATTTACAATTAAATATGAGTTTGAGGTACAAGAATAGATAGAACTGATATTCCGTTACTGTATCAGAACAGTCAACCCACAATAAAGAACAAACACAATAGATAACCTTTCTTCCGTAGGTGCTGATATGACAGTGATATCTGTGACATAACTTTTAACTAATGAAACTAACTTTCAAACGCGGATTTGCTCTCATTAGTGTATATTTTGTCATTTAATTTATTATTTCTGTTTCTAAGTACTAGTTGACACACACAAATTTGTTTGCGTCTCTCAATAGAAATACATGTTCGCTATTTTTGCAACATTTTTCGTTGATGCTTGGCTCATATTGGTCGCAGCGTGATGTTAGATAGCCTTCCCAGATAAAGGTTCAATACAAAATTAAAAATTTTTTCAATCAACAATAAAAACTAAATTTGGCTTTATTCTTTAAGAATCAAACTATCTCCATAACAAATTTCGTATAAATCGGTTCAGCGGTTATTCTCTATACAAACATCAAGCTCCCCCCCCCCCTTTGGGGACCTTGGGACAAAAATTATCCTACGTAATTTTTCTGGGACTCAAACTATCTCTATCCCAAATTTCATCCAAATCGGTTTAGCGGTTTAAGCGTAAAGAGGTAACAGACAGACAGACACATTTTCGCATTTATAATAATACGAGTATATTAGTATGGTTATTTGAAAATTATTTGAATACCAGCTTTAGCGCCTCCGCCCGCGTGTATATCGGTTATCGCAGTAAAAAGTATCCTATGTCCTTTCCCGGGACTCAAACTATCTCTATGTTAAATTTCATCTAAACCGGTTCAGAAGTTTAAGCGTAAAGAGGTAACAGACAGACATACAGACACACTTTCGCATTTATAATATTAGTATGGATTTCTCAAACACATTTTTGTCTGAGTCTACATAAACGATTACAAATCATTTTCATTTTTTATGAAATTTTATGAAATAAAGAAATTTTGACTTTGACTAAGGTACTCTATGACTTTCACCGTACCCCTAACAATGTTTTAACTAGGTACATAACTACTAACACAATATTTCATAATATTCGGATGTTCGGTAAGGCGTAATCGCAATATACAAATAAATTAATTATAAAATAAAAACTAAAATAAGCATATATCAGACCCTATTTATCATGTAGCACCGAAAAATGAGCACAAACTCGATAGATTTATGTTGTTTCGGATAACGGAAAGTGTTTCTAATTTCATCATCATCATCATCAACAGCCTTTACTAGTCCACTGCTGGACGTAGGCCTCTCCTTAGGAAGGAGGTTTCTAATTTAGCTTCCTATATTTGTGAGGAACACACATACATACATGCATACTAAGAATACGCACATTACAAGTTAAATATTCTTGTCAAGACAGCGATATATAAAACATAATGAAAGTATATGTAAAAGCAAACATCGCTTTGTGTTTGCTCATGATTAGATATATATTTAGAACGAGTAGATATGAGTTGGTTTTAAAATTTAAGCGTAAGTGAAACAATTGTCAGCGAACCAAATAAATGAATATTACAGAGGGCCTAGTGTGAGTTTATTTCACATCAACACGATCTCGAGGGCGAGCGCGTTCAGCGTTGCGATTGGTGAAGCTTACAGTTTGGGCCAATCGCAACACCGAACGCGGTCACCGTGACGATCGAGTTGATGTGAAATACTCGTAAACTCACACTAAGCCCTCAGTTGTTAGCTGTCTAAAATAACTTCGGTCGAACGGTCGAACCAAGGTCATTTTAATAAGATGATAGGTTAATTTCGATATAGGTTGAGTTTTGCAGAGTTCATGAAGAAAGTATTAAAACAAGATTTTAAGTTTAAACACAACGAATATCATTAATAAATGCTAAGTAATTTAAAGATATTTATTTATGGATTTCCACTGCTGGCCTTGGAAAGGAGGCTTCGGCCTACTTTGCCTACCACGCACGGGTGGCGTGTTCCATTTTACTCAAGAAATGTCTTTAAATGAATTCTAAAACGTAGCATTTATTCAATATATTTTTCTCCATAGATAGACGCTGCAACTGGTGAGAGCGAGACCAACGCATCCACTCTCCGTCGATCGGTGCAGTTAGCGCGATGTTTTCGTCGCTTCGGCGTGCAGCCCGGCGACGTCTTGGCGCTGAGTGGGAAAAACCACCTCGACTTGCACATACCCTTCTACGCTGCACTCATGATCGGAATGCCTGTTGCTGGTGTAGACCCAGAATTTAAATATAGTAAGTATTTATCCTTGTGGTAACGGATTAAGAACGAAGAAAATGGAGTGTTATTACCCCTATTTATCCCGTGGGTATAAGAGTCGACTAAACAGGACGACAGCACTGTAAAGTAGGCCAAAACCTCATTTCTAAGTAGTGTCAGAGGCCTACGAGTATGTCCAGCAGTGGGCTGTTATAAACTGTTAATGATGATGATCATGGCGAAATTTTTAGTACAAAACGACATTTTCAATATATAAATAACGATACCATATATATATAACTGCATTTCTACGTTCCGAATATTTTTATTATTCATTTGAATTTTGATTTAAAGTTATCGTCCGTGTGGTGACGGATTAAGAATACGGAATGTCATCACCCCTATTCATCCCGTGGGTGTCGTAAGAGCCGACTAAGGGAACAAACTACGCAGGACAACAGCACTGCAAAGAGAAGGAAAGCTTGAAACAAACTCTATACCAACCCGTCTGGCCAGCGTGGTATAGTAGGCCAAACCTTCCTTTCTAAGGCTTTCTAGTAATGGCTGTTGATGATGATGAAAATTATTTTAAAATATTTTCCTTATTTATTATTTTTACCTTTGCACAATAATTTCATTGGGATACAAGTGGGATCAATGGGGACTTTTGACACTTTACTTCTAATGGTGTACCCAAGATCTCCACCAAAATTTAGCTCATTCGGAATTTTCGGTATTTGACTACTATTTTAGTGACTAAATTGACCACCGATCAAAAAACACGTAAAGTTATCGCTTCAAGGCATTTAAGGGGCCTATTTTAACTATTTACTGTTACCCGAGACCTCGTGCGGTTTTTAGTCGGTTCGAGTCCGACATAACCACCGGTGGGTGGTATCCGAGGGGATTTCCGCACAAAAAAGAAAGGGAAGTGTTCAGCTATTTTGTTTGCTTATATGTATATGTTTATAAAAATAATTGAAACGTATAATGACTAATCTAATATAAAAAATCCCTTGTTTGTACAGCTGAAATAAAAAATCACTTCAAGATATCTTTACCAAAAATAGCGTTTTGCCAAAAAGAATGCCTTGAAGATAACCTACGGGCTATTAAAGACCTGAACCTGGATACAAAGTTGATCTGCTTTGGTGATGGAGAATACTCTATGAAGAGATTTATTGAGGAGTATGACGACGGCGATGACGTCACTACGTTTGAGTAAGTTTTTTAAAATATTTTAGTAGTCTATGATTGCAACGGATCTTATGATTGATTGATTTCAAATCTTGATTCTTTTCAAATTGAACATTGACAGATCCCTGGTATTCTATATAGCAGTAGTAATCGTAGTAGAACGTCAGTCTGTTATAGTTCCATTAAACCTTCTAGAAACGAAGTGTGATATTACTAATTTCTTTATATGCATAACAAACAGAATGGTTACATAGGAATCACTCCCGGGCAGGGGTCGATATCCTATTTTGCAAATATTTGATAATATTTATCAATTTATCCATCAAAATTTGTCAATAGGACTTACGTATTTATTTGAAATTGAATGAAGCAGTGGGTAAGATGTATGCATATAAAGTTAAATTTTATAAAATAAATAATTTAGAATCTTAAATGTTGGAAAGAGAAACTTTTTTTGATATGTCAAGTCTTTAAAATGTTTTAAGTAAACCATTATTAGTGCCCTTCTTAATATACAGAAATTATATGAAAACGCTATTTCGATATATGTTTATACTCGTATATATATAATATATATATATATATATATATATATATATCCATGCCATCTAGTTTAAAACTATGCAGAGCTTGTACTGTGAAAGCTAGATTGACTGATATAATATTTAAATACGAGTATCATACATAGAAACCACCCAAAGTTCGAAACAAATATTTGTAGATCATACAAACAGTTTTTCCGTCCCGGGAATCGAACCCGAGACCTCAGACCTATAGGCACAGCAGTCGCTTAATTTTTTAATTATTTGCTATTTTTGCCAAAGGATTGATTTTTATTTTCGATATCCACCATTATACTATATACAGTCAAACCTGGATAAGTGAGAACTGGATAAGTGAGAAAACTCTATAAGTGAGAGTAATAGCCAGGACCCATCATTTTAAGCTCCCAAAACCTCTATTAGCGAGAAACAGAAACCTCTGTAAGAGAGAGTCGTTTTTCCCTCATAGACCTCCGTAAGTGAGACTACTACTTATCTATACCTCTATAAGCGACAGTCGAGCTTTATCATGTGCTATTTTATGACTCATTCTTAACTTTCGTGGAACTTCCTACCATTGTTTTTGTATTCTCGTCAATATATTTACTACATTCGTACTTGCTGTGACTTGTTATTGCTGCGTACCTCTATAAGAGAGAAACGCTACCCATGTACCTGCATTAGCGAGAAACTCGGGTTAGTGAGAAACCTCTATAAGCGAGAATGAGATTGTGCTCCCTTGAACTCTCGCTTATCCAGGTTTGACTGTATATTATTTTTCGGTAATGGCTATGACAAAAAATATTTTTTTGGCAAAAAATGGAGATTATTTATATGGCTTACAAATATTGCCCTTAATGCCGCACCAGGTCGAACGACTGTACAACAAAGATATTAAAATTTTCTTAAATTCGATTATTTCAAGCAAACGAAACGTTCAAGTAATGCTTTTAATATTTATTGTCCGGAAGAGAAAAATAATAGCAAGTGTATCACAAGACTTGCAATCCAATAACAAACCAGCCAAGACCATAAATTACTTATGTCAATTCTGAATGCGAATATCTTGGTAACAGCGCAATTACGCTCTTAGAAGCCTTCAGGGGCTCGTGACACTAAAGACCTCCTAATCCTTGACACAACTATTAACCAATAAAGTCACCGTACCGGAAACGCCGTAAATGAATGGCTCTGTGCACACGTACGAAAGATTATATAATAGACTATGACTATGTGCTACATATATAATGACTCTTCATTGTGACGGAATTGTACTTATTTAATACTAATCCACAATACGAAAACATATATGCGGCAAAGGAGAACGGCTCTTTGCTGTTCAAGATATTCACAGATTGCCGCGAACGATGTTTCAAAAAAGGTGGACATATAAAACTAAAACTAAAGAAAATCCTGTGATGAAATTCTTACTAATAATGTTAAAAACAAAATTAGATTGATCAATTTTATCAAACTTAATTACGATTAATTGTACAAAAAGAAAACAAATTGTTGTTAATCTGCGATATTTTAACAGTTACAGGTATATCAATGGTTACAGGGTTGTCAGACGTATATTTCAAATTTGTTAATTCTTGGTTTAATGTATTTAACGCCATTACGTTTTGGACGGTTAGACTCAGTTCCATCAAATGCAATGATAGTACAAATGAGGCAGTGGTAGCGTATGCGACCGCTGTGCTGAGGTCTCGGGTCGGACCATATGTTTCTATGATGATGATGATGATGATATGAAATTTGTTTTGGAGTTTGGGTGTTTTCTATGTATAATATGTATGTATTTACAAAAAAAAAGTAGTATATAAGTATTTTGTCAGTCAATCTAGGTTTCATAGTACAAGCTCTGCTTAGTTTGAAACTAGATGGCGTTGTGCGTCAGAAGTCCGAAATATTAAATATTATAATTATGAGCAATAACTAGGAAACCATCATCTTCTGAGCATTTTCCAAACTACGTTGGGGTCGGCTTGCAGTCTACTATGACACGGCTGAATTCCATTTTCTTAAGTGGAGCGACTGCTATCTGACCTTCACCACTAAGTACAAGACGATATCGAAGTTTTATAGATGGATTGTTGTTGGAGTGTTTAGGACGCCAACTGCCCGTAAGGATTGCCACAGATTCTCGTATGGCGTCAATGTGTTAAGAATGGTCCCGTCATAGACTGACCTGGCTAGGATTGCTCAAATTTGTAATCTGTTACGAAAACTAGCAACTACTACTATATTTCTACTTTCGATCACAGCGTTTGATGTTTAATAATTTACTACGAAAACACCTCTCAATTTGTGAGATCGAGAATAACTGAATTCGGAGCATAATACTTTTACTAGAATTGGCCTTCATATAGGCACCATGACCCCTGGGATGGGTCTAGTTTAACAATCCTAACGTAAATATTATTGTGCTTGTTTTAAAAACTACATTTTTTAATTCCAGGCCATTGGATTTTGACCTGGACCGAATTTATGGCTGGCTCGTCAGCACAGGCGGCACCACAGGAATGATAAAGCTGGCAGCCCTCAAACATAGAACTTTTTTCAAGAAGATGAGAGAACTAAAGACGATGTTTCGTTTCTTTCCAAGAGGTGATGAAGAGGAGTACGTAAAGTTATTTAAAATACTAGCGAATAGCGCTCGATCACTACTAATACAACTAATATGGTGTCAGTGTGGAGTATACTATTAACTATACTATTACTATGATAGGACCATACTACAGGACATCTTTAAATGCAATATTTATTGGTCCGCTCCGATCCCGAAAGCCGCTGCCACCCGGGACAGACGTACGGCACAACGGCCGTTGGGCATCCTCATTTTAAACATCTAAAATCTTCTAAAATATTCATTTTAATGATATGCTGTAAAAAGCATTTTAATCTACATTAAATGCACAACGTATCTCACATTTTAGATGCATAAGGAATAATAATGTATTGTTTAAAATAGCTTCGTAAATAACCCATTATTTTTTTGTAACATTTAAAAGATAAAAATGTTTACTGTTGGTTATCCTTAGGAGATAGACATATACCATCGTGGACTTTTTTTTTAAATCTTCTTAAGATATACAATTCCGTAGTACATTATTTTAGTCTACATATCTCATACGGTTGGGCACGCCGTTATCGCGGCGGTAAGACTCGTTATGGAGGATTGGCTCGAGAGGCATCACGGGACCCTCTGGTTGGACGGTTGAGGCAGGTGATCACCGGGAAACGATGCTTCGGAGATCACCTGTGTATGATCCGTAAGGAGCCAACGCCTGAGTGCCACCACTGCGATGGCCGAACCGTGGACACAGCGCTCCATACGCTGGCAGAATGCCCGGCTTGGGTGGAGCAGAGGCGTTGCCTTGTGGCGGCCATCGCGGTGGGAGTTCTCTCGCTCGGTAACATGATTGCAACCATGGTACGGAGAGAGAGTTCGTGAAACTCCTTCTGCGATCAAGTTATGCTTGTTAAGGAGAAGGCGGAACGAGACCGGGAGAGGTTTAGAACTCTCCCGGAGCGCCAGGCCCAGCAACTGGCCAGGTACCGCCTGAATGACCTCCGTCCTCCATAAGCCTGGGGGAGGTAGGTGAGGCCATCTGTCACCCTAGCAGAAGCAGGCCGGGGTGGTGGCGAGACGCGCTTCGAAGCGCGCGCCCCCCTTTCGAGAGCACAAAGGGGACATAGAGGTTCCCACACAAGAGGGGGTCAGTTACGCAAGTAGATGGCCCGAGGTACGTCGGGGTATCAGGGTTTTCCTTCCTGGTTCCCCGGCAACTGTTTAGCCAGCGTTTACAGTATAAGCGCACAAAACATATTTTTTATCTCATTTTTTTTGGATATATTATACGTAAAAACTATAATATTATATTATTACATATAAACTTTCTTCTTGAATCAGTTTCGCTATTGGAAAAAACCGCATTTAAATCCCTTTCTTAGTTGATCTAAACGTACAACACAAAAAAGCGACTTTATTTTATGGTATGTAAAGATTAATCGCTTGATACACGAATTATTATTCAAAATTAAACCTAAAAACAGAATCGCTTGAAAAAAAACGCAGTCAGTAAAGTTAATTAATAAAATAATCATAACTAGACATATCTCACACACGGCAGTCTGATCCTAAACTAGGCAGAACCTGTACTATGGTAAGCAGACTGCTGATAAACAGCTGGTTGGCTCACCGTTGACTTGTAAGAAAAAGGCGCCACACAGGCCCAGACAACAAGTGAACTCACCAATATATTTGTGAGTTTTTAAAGTAATTTATCTCAAAGGCTGGCAAGAGGGGCGCCACTATCAAATTTTTGCCCCGGTTCGAAAAAATCGTGGATCCGGGGCTGTATCTAACTTTGAAAATGACGAACTTCCGTAGAACCGTTCATCCTTTATTTTCCTCCTTAAGGGTAAAATTTCCAAAGACCCTTTCTTAGTGCGTACTTACAACATATAAAAAGCATCTGCTGCCAACATTTTAAGTTTGTAACCAAAGCGGTTTAGGCTCTGCGTTGATGAATCAGTCAGTCATTCAGATCATATTCTTATGGGCGTACGGCCCATAGTATGGCCATATCTAACGCGTAACTCCACTTAATATCTATGTCCCCGACATGAGGCAGAGGGGTCCACAGTAGTCCTCCATCGCGTCAAGTCCTGATCTCCGAGCTTGACCTCACCCCACGTCTTGCCGATTCTCTTCACGTCATCTGCGACATTGCGTCGCCAAGTTTGCTTTGGGCGGCCACGCTTGCGTTTTCCTAGCGGGTTCCAACCCAGTGCTTGTTTGGCGATATAACAAAAATATGGCGTAAATAGGCTTTTTTTTATTATCTTGGATTTTTTTTGGTAACATTCGGCTCTTAATCTATAGATTTAGTAGTAATATATAGAGTTTTAAATTCCTGTATTCCGCTTTTACGCTGATATAAAATTTAAAAAAAATAACCAGTTGCGCGATTAAAACCAGTCTGGTCTTATAAGTATTATTATGTATTCGATAATAAAATAAACTGTGATAAAAGTGGTATAGAGTTATTTCTAACAACGTTTATATTTCCATAGGAACCAAAACCGCGAGCACATGCCAGTGCTTCACCTTCCACCAGTGCAGTGGATAACATCCTTTTTTGGAGCACTAAGCTCTCCGGCTATGCGACTAACCAAAGTGATGACGTCAGCTCCAACCACTACAGAACATGTTATTGATATAATTAACAAGTATAGAGTGAGTGAATTGCTTTGAAATACAATTAGGGCCTTCTTATTTCATGAAATACATCCTAAACAGATATTGTAAAAAATCTTCCAAAAGGCATACCCTCAATAAAGATTTTTTCAGAAGTATGTTTCACAGACGAACATATTTTTTTTTTCAGACATACTTTGCAACTTTATTTATAAAATCAATCACTTTCCAAAAGCTTCCAGAAAAATCTTACTCGTGAACCTTTAAGCTAAGCCCGACACTTTAAATTGAATTCTGCACGGTATTGGTGTTGGCATTGGCAGTAGGCTTCGATTTCTGCATTTAGACTCAAAAATGGTCCTTTCAGGGTTACATGCTTCTTCTGTTAACAGATTTCTTCTGCAAAGGGGGCTGTCCGTCGCATTAATGGTGAATAGTTGTCGGTTCAGGGCTAGGTGTCCTGTTATAGTTCCAACAACTATTCGGATATCTGGTCTTTCTATAACTTGAAATACTTATATTTACACATATACCCATTATTGCTCAAGATAATAATTTGAAAAGATTGAGAAAATAAAGTATTTGTATAAATTTATTATTATACTTTTCAGCCAGTAATGGCAATGATGGGACCTTCTATGGCTGCGGGCATAATCAAGAGTGAAAAGGAATGCGACCTAACCTGCTTTGCTAATCTCACGTTATTGGGCGCTAAAGTCCACAAGGATATTTATTTACAACTAAAGGTATAGAACAAAAGACCCAAGTGTAAATTTACGTGTATTTTTTTCAGTTGCTTTTATAATGAAACTTTATTAGATCAAGAAAATGTTTGCTAGAAGTGGTACCTACTAGTTTTTATGAGTAAGTACTTAAGACGTACCTGTGTGTTTTAAGACAAAATAATGGTCAACGCTATTTGACATCGCATATACGAGTATGCGTCATATTATATTTGTCGCCGAAATGTCATCTTCTTATATAAAGGGTGTCACAGACGCTACGAGAAATCACCCATTATTGTTTGAGGATTGATGCCAGCATGACTTTTTAAACTTATGTTGCTAAAAGTGTATGGACAAAAATAAACAGACATGTAAAAACAAAGTCATGTTACTCATGTATATTCAAAATAAATTGATTTTGATCATTAAAACAATTCCTAAATATTAGTAGGTACTACATATAATTAAATAAATTACATATTAAACCAAAAATATTACACTCGTGCATAACTTAATGCGGGGAATACTGCTCTGCCCACGCTACATGAATAACATACATGTTTAAAAATTATTCCAGAAACGATTACGTCCCGAAGTCCCACTTCATGATGCCTACGGTCAGACAGAGAACCTAGGTCCAATTTTGACTCCGAACCCTTCAGGACCCGTTGGTAACTGCGGCAACTGTCCGTTCGATTGGCAGAAGAATATCAAAGTGAGTATTTTATGATGTTTTTTGTCTGGTCATTTGGAAAAAAACCTCACGACCCGAGTAAATTGCCTTATACAGATAACAAAAAAGTCTATCATCACATACAACACTTATTAGTAAATTGCGTAATATGTGAAGACGGATAAACGTAAACGTATACCTGATTCTAGTTTACGAATAGTTAGTTTTAGATTTTTGATGTGTTACATCTTTCCTCTCGTTAACTTGCAATGCTGTCCGTGTGGTGACGGATTAAGAATACTCAGAGTCACTTCCTCTATTCATTAGGTAGGTGTCGTAAGATTTGACTATGTGAGCAAACTACTCAGAACAGCTGCACTACAAAGAGAAGGAAAACTTAAAACAAACCCTTAACCAACCCAAGTATGTCCAGCAGTGGACTACTAAAGGCTGTTGATGATGATGATGATTTGTTGTGACATCAGTATGTAACAGAAAGAAGGCAGCAAGGGAGCCGCGCGCTATTAGATTTAAACAATAAACGCGGGCGGTGATTACCAAAGTTAGCTGTCAGATGTTACACTTCATATGCGACTACTGTAAGACTACTTTTCGCCCATTAGCACTTAATTCATCCACTTTACAGCAAGCCGCAGAAGTTAAAAGCCTCTTACAATACCTTAATTTATTATTTCGTAAATGCTATTGTAGTTAGTGGATCCAGAAACGGGTGCTGAGATCAAGAAACCATACGTAAAAGGGGAGATGTGGACCAAACTAACTGGCTTTTCTGTAAGTATCAAATTTCATCTAACTCGGTTCAGCGGTTTAAGCCTGAACAGGCAACAGACAGACACACTTCTGCATTTATAATATTAGTATGGATTGAAATATAGTTCACTGACATTTTTTATGTTAGAAGGAGCAAACGAACAGTCAAATCACATGATGGTAAGTGACTACCACCGCCCATCGACTTAACCTGCAACTTAAGAGACACAAGTACATAGCTACCTTTTTCTCTGTTGTAACATCACTAGTAGATTATTATGTCACGTCACTAAGGTACATTGCACTATGTACATACTGAAGTATGTAGTCAAATATCAAATATCTTTATTTTTCAATATCTTTATTTTCAAATATCTTTATTTTTCAATGAAGTCATTCAACCGTGATCTTCCGCAGGAATTCATTTTTAGCCTGGGGTATCCTAACTCACTCGGTAAATAAATCGATGAAGCCGTGGTATCACTCCGCTGGAACCGGTCTTTTTGTGCCGAAGCATGGCTCTCCCACGGCCCATAATTTCTCATTAAAACTAAGGTTTCGGATCTTATTTAGAGGGAACAACAAGAATACCAGTAATACCAGAAAAAAAGCGACAAAAGTTTTTTTTTTATGAATTAAACTAACATACTTAGGCATTGGCAGTACACAATTAGCTTCTGCACAATAACCAAATATGAATACATTACGTGGGCCAGCTATGCTTCGGTTCATATGAGAAGTCTCGACTGGAGTGCTTCCACCGACGAGCTAAACGGTAAAACTAAACGGACAGGAGGAGGCCCAGCTCCTCTCCTCGCAATTCTGGGTAGTGAGTTGTTCATTGGACGGCTGTAATGACTTATAGTCTGCCTCGTCTACTTAAGAGTCCTCAATATCATAATAAAATTAAAGTCACGTCCTTAGGCATAATATTTGTGATTAACAGGAATACTATAACAATCCGGAAGAGACTGCAAATGCATTAACAGAAGATGGCTGGTACAAGACGGGAGACATACTGTATAGGGATGAAGAAGGTAACTACTATTTTGTGGAACGGATCAAGATGCTCATCAAATATCGCAATTATCATGTAAGTGATAGTGTTTAATTTAAGGAACTTTTTATTTAGTCTGTTTACTTTATTTTTGAACTTATAGTAAGTACAAAAAAATACATCACAGCAGCGTGGCGTAGCGTACTGAATTGGATTAAAAAAATATTTGAATATAATAGCAGTAGAGTAGAAGCTAACATTAAAAGTATAGATCATGGAAATCTAGCATATGTTTTAGCATATTGATGTTTCGGACCACGGGTCTGCTGTCTCTGGATTCTCCAAAAGCGAAGAATACATTGCGAAACTGAAGTTTGAATCATACTTTAACTGTAACCGGCATATAAAACAGCAAAATGTTGTACTTAGTTAAAAATGGATCCTACCATAGCTACCTTTATAAGATTTACAAAAAAAGCTGGCAGCCAGTTTAATTTTTTTTTAACTTATTATACTGGTTTATGTCTGTTTTAATAAATTAATTATGGTACCTATGGTCTTAAAAGACTCTACAGGCAGGCAAAGACTTTACGCGATGGTATTTTACAGGCACTGATAAAGCAGTGCCTGTAAAATATCATCGCATCAAACAAAAAGAGTACAGTTATCAAAGATCAGATTAAAGTACAGTTACAAAATGTTTTGTATACTAACAACTTTTTCAAGGCTGTGTTCTAATATTATTTTTTAATTGAATAGGTAGTGCCTCCAGAAGTGGAAGCAGTCATCTTAGAACACCCTGGAGTACATTATGTGTCGGTGACGAGCATACCTCATGAAGAAGACGGAGAACATCCTGTAGCTTGCGTCGTGAAAAAGGACGGAAGCAATGTGACTGCGCAGGAGATCAAAGACCTTGTAGCTAGTAAGTATTGCAGTCTCAATCGAATTGATAAATGCTGACTACACAAAACAAACAGTTGAAAAGCAGCTCCATAAATTGGCGTTTAGGTACACTCACCTTGTGCCTGATCATTCTATAAGAAAATAGTTATGTACATCTTAAGAAGATAATTTCTGGTTAAAAAGCCAGAACTTGGGGAAAACCCAAAGAACTTGGGAAAAAAGTTTTTGAGTGGAGACCGCATCTGGGCAAACTGTGGGACGCTCACAGGCCAGGTGGAGTGACTGGCAGAAGCTGGATGCGAGAAGCCCAAAATCCCAAATTTACGGGTTGAGTTTTCATTGGAGCAATGCTGGAAACGGTCTCATCAATACACCGCAGTGGGTATTGTGGCTTCGATTCCCACGATTCACAGGTTCCAAGTGAATTTTCTTTGTTTACTATAGTGTGAAGTCCTTGCGAAACATTTTTTTTTCAAGATTTAATTGTCTTTAATAATATAGAAAACTATACTTTGAAACATATTTTTTTCAGGTAAATTATCAGACTCACAACAACTAAGAGGTGGGGTGGTGTTTATAGATGAAATACCGTTAACATCAGTAGGGAAAATCGCTTACAACAAACTGAAACAAATTGCGCTGACAGCGCAGAGAGAATAGCGAGATTCGCGATATTTTTAATACTTTTAGTTAACATACAGTAATTGTAAGCAGCAATTTTAGGTAGGTATGAGACAGGGTTTTTTGAAGGCTTATAGTATGTTTTCTTAGCCTTAATTTATGTAACCTGGTATTGGTCGGTGTAATATTAAGTACAATAAACTGTAAATAATTCATTTGTATTCATTTTGTCAATTGTGACCCTACAGAATACCCTAGGTTTATGTATCTATTTTACACATTATAGATAAATTTAATAAATCTGTTTATATATCAAAACGAAAAATCCCTTTGGATCTAGGGGTAAAGAATTGATTTTTCTCGAAAAGAAATTTACATTTTTACACGCTTTATTAGATTCACTTGTATGTTTGTTTGTATGTTTGTAACCGACTCCTTTGGGCGTGATTTACCTTAAACGGACCTTAAACGGTCAGAATTCGTTCAAACTTTGTAGATATATCAAAGACCGATGACAATACACTAATTTAAAAAAATATACATATAGTTTTAAAAAACTAAAAAACACGCTTTCTATAGAAAACCAAACTAAAAAATAGAAAATAAATTTGAAAAAAAGCGTGGGTGCTTTTTACTATTGACAACAGGCACCCAACGCTTTTTTAAAACTATATTTTTTTTACTTACATGAGATTAGGTTTTTACTTAAAACACTGATACTTCATCACTCAAACATTTAAGGATGTCCTGCTCCTTGCAGGAGCCAGAAGTATGTGATGATTACGCTAAAAACCACCCTGACGGCCAGCCCCAGGCGGTCTACTCTGAGAGAGATCTACTCTGGGAGGGAGGGACCATGTGATTTCAGGTTTATTCCGAATTGATACCACGTATAACCAGGCTCTATCCCAGAAAGACCTGAAAACTTTACCCCCTCTGTCTGGCGACCCGCGGCCCTGTTGACAGCTGGTATCGCCACCGATGTCATCTACGCTCGGGATAGGTCCTCTCCCGATACTGTTCAGCGGTCTATTGCTGGAGCATTACAGATTCACAGAAAGAGATCACTGCGCCCCAGCCATCCTCACCCGCAAGCATGGCAATAGTGATTGCTGGCGGGCACAGAAACCTATTATACTGGAGAGAGGCTACTATAAATTTAGAGTTTTAAGTTATTTAATCAGTTCTATTTCTTTACAATAAGATTGATGAGGTGTACAAATATTTATAGATTTAATTTCAAAACATTAAATTTCTATAATAGACTAGACATCTATTATAGTTTAATGTATTGACATTACACACAAATAAAGAAATATTTAAGCCTGAGAAATTGTGGATGCAGTTTATGCAGCGCTCTGGACTACAATAATATTAGATATATTATTTCTTAAGCCTACTTACTGTGTTTGTTTAACTTTACAAATACTCAAAGAACGCATACTAGGATGATTAGGTATATGTGGATTATAGAAATGTCGAATGGATTATAGGCATCAAACACGAATACGAGGGGAGCTCTTCTACATTTTCTTCTTAAAATACACTGTTTTCGCAGTACCTACACCAGATATACTGACATAATCTTCTACCATCTATCCCAAACACCTCAGTCTGGATTTCATTCCAAGAGAGCGTTTTGAATGCGGTAAGAGTTCAGAACAACTGAAACACTTTGGTCCAGTCACGGTTTCTTGGCTTCTTTATACCTGTGTGTTGTACGGCCGCAACAGCGGTTACCAGTGCGGTAACCGTGCCTGTGACTTGTACCGCTGCAACCAAATGATTTATCCATTCTCCATTGTATCTGATACTGTCAAATGTTTTGCCAAATGAAACCTTTCACACTACTTTGTTTTACTTAGCTTGTTTGTCACAGCGCCTGCTGAAAAGCTCAGAATAATTTTAACCAACCACACATTTAATTTTATTTTGATCAGTAGGTATTTATACTTATAGAATTGACAACAAACGAGGAAATAAAAATCAAGTTCAAAAAAGGCTACCAAGACTTTGGCTACAAAAACAGATCCCGCAATTATACCCTGGATTGTGGTCAATCGTTCAACGATTCTTGATAGAATTCCTATCTTCATATTTGTGTGAACGTGGATTTAGTGCTGTGGCAACGCTTCTTACTAAAAAGAGACTTGCGGCTGTTCTTGAGTAAATTGGTACCTAATATCAACAAACTTACTAAACAGCATCAGATTCATTCGGTTTGTCGGCGGTAGGTGTAGAAAATTATAGACGTGTCGTAAATCTCGTAAAATTGAATTTAAATTATATTTATTGTAACTTTTGCCTAATTTCATATCTTGGGAGAAGTTAACACAGTCTATGTGCTGGTATTCAAAAAAACTCATATTTGATGAACATTTAATGTGATATAAGCCAATAAATCGACACCACCTGCCAGCGCATCGCTTTACAGTGTTTAACAATTTATTTTATATTATAAACAATCAAGAATGTCGCAGTTCTCTGATATATTATCGGCGCAGAGGACACTTGAGGAGATATTCGCGAAGAAGATGTCTGATCTTGAAGCTCAGATACAAAGTGCCGGTCCCGCTAAAGACACTGTGGCCAAGGTTGCGGAGGAATTCCGAACTTTTCGGGAATTAATTTTTTCCATGTTGGGCATGCTTCGGAAACAAATCGGTGAATGCTTTGGAAGGCTAAATCAAGACTCAAGAGTTCCTCTATAACTATAAAGGAGTTCCTGACAAAGAACAGGCAATCCATATTCGCCAAGGCCAGGCTACATTTCGGTGTCCCTGCGTGCTGGACTCAAGATGGTATTATAGTCATCAAAGTCCCTGGTGGAATCCGGCACAGGATCACGACCATCGACGAGCTGAACCCGCTGCTGGTGAAATATCCAAAGGCGCAAACGACTTCCTCAAAATCCTCAAAGCCTGCAGGAGAAAGTAGGTCTGATAAATAAATTCAATTTAGCAGTGACATTTAGCATTATTCACTTAATAGTAATATTTACCATATAATTATACCACCTCATAATTATTTCTTGTATACAAGACCCTTAGCCCATTTCGTATACATATCTTTCAATTGTTTTTATTCCTGTAGTTTTCTAACCTTTATTTTCTTAATGTTTTATCAAATTTTTTTTCATTTTGACTTGACGTTTTAGGTGTATCACCAAAGAGTATAGAGTAGCATAGATTAAATATTTAATCATTCACTCATTTCGGTCACTGCTGTTCGGATACGCTGCTCGTAATATAATATCTGATATTGAGGGTGAACCATAGTCTAACATTAGTATTAACACCTATGTTTTCTTCACACTGTTATGAATTGCATTTTAAATTTTTGTTTTTTGTTCAAACTTTTTCTAGTGATGTAAGCTGGCGGGTTTTGCAGAGATACAAGCGCTGTACCAGAACATCGGCACGCACATAGTTAATCGATATATATATATATATATATATATATATATATATATATATATATATATATATATATATATATATATATATATATATATTATTTTTATTACTATTAGTATTACTTATAAATATTTATAGTTCATTCGTACTTATGTCTTGAGGTAGTGAATATTATGTTTCTGCCAATGAATCTGAAACCTCTTTTAGTGATGATAGCTTCTCTTCCGTAACAGAAACTCTCGGTGGTATTTTATGCAACAAGTTTAGTAGTAACACAAACAGCCAACTATTTCATGTGTGCCATCTAAATGCCCAAAGTGTTCCTAGCCACTACGCTGATTTGTATATATTATGCCGTTATAATATTCGTGCCGTTCTGATCTCCGAGACTTGGCTCAAACCGCATCTTCTCTCCACCTCTTACTCCCTGCCCGGTTTTATTCTTATCCGGAACGATCGGATCGGAAGGGGGGGAGGTGGCGTGGCTATTTACCTACGGAGTGACTTTTCCTATAGAATTATATCAGCTTCCTCTTCTCATTATAATGCTTTTGCTGAATTCCTATTCTTAAAGATTTGTGTCAAAGGCGCTAAGGTTGTACTTGGTGTTGACTATTGTCCCCCTTCAATTGACTATTTCACTGATTTCGAAACAGTTCTTGAATCTCTGGGTGCAGAGTACGCTCATCATGTCATCATGGGTGATTTTAATACCAATCTCCTAGCCCGAAACTCCACTCGTTCCTGTAAACTCCAACTCCTTCTTGAGTCGGTCAGCTTTCTTGTTCTGCCATTACAGGCCACTCACCACAATAATGTCAGTGAGGACACTTGGCTCGACTTAATTATTACCTCTAATCCTTCCCTTGTTTCCTCTCATGGTCAGCTTGACGCTTCCGGATTTTCACATCATGACCTGATTTTCCTCTCCTACGTTACCTCCTTACCTCCTAAACCCAAACCTAGGATTCTTCACAGGCGTTGCTTTGGACTAATGGATATTGACAAATTGAATGACGATGCGTCACATATTGACTGGACATCCCTGATCGATTCTACTTCTATCGATGACAGGTGCACGTATTTAACGAAATAGTGACTAAACTGTACGAAATTCATGCACCGGTTAAAAAGGTTAGGCTTAAACGATTGCCAGCACCTTGGATGACCAGGGGTATACAGATGGCCATGAGACGTCGAGATCGGGCATTTAGGACTTATAAGAGGGACCGTATCGAAGTCAACTGGCAATTGTACAAGTCTGCAAGGAATCGGTGTACCCAAGTGATACGGAACGCTAAACGCCGCCACATTCTAGATAATATTTCCTCTTCATCTCCTGCCGACATCTGGAAGTTCCTTGGGACTCTTGGTATCGGCAGATCGCGACATGTGGACTTTCCACAATCCATAAATCTCGATTCCCTAAACCAACATTTTACCATCTCTCTCACGTTGGACATTGTATCTGAACATAACACCCGTACTTACATAAATAGTCTACCGCGCCCTAACTTAAACCCTTTTCACTTCAGTCCGGTTGCAGAAGGAGAGATTAAGAAGATTATTCAATCTATCAGATCCCAAGCAGTTGGTTGTGATGGCATTAGTCGGAAAATGATCACCACATTGCTGGTCCACCTCCTTCCCGCTATCTCCCATATTGTTAACTTTTCTCTCATGTCTGGCACATTTCCTTCTCTGTGGCGGAGAGCGTATGTGCGCCCGTTACCTAAAACTCCCAATCCGTCTCTTCCCACACACTTTCGTCCAATTTCTATCCTTCCCTTCCTCTCCAAGGTGCTAGAGGCCTGCGTCCACAAACAGTTCTCCCACTTCATTTACAGTAACAACTTACTCAGTCCCTTTCAGTCAGGGTTTCGACCAGGCCATAGCACGGCATCTGTTCTTCTCAAAGTGACTGGCGATATTAAGGTGGGGATGGAGAATACTAACGTTACTACCTTAGTACTGGTTGATTTTTCGAATGCCTTCAATACCGTCAGTCATGAACTTCTCCTTGCTGTCCTATCCCATTTCTCGGTCTCTCAAGATGCACTGGGCTGGTTTTCCTCTTACCTTCGGGATCGTCAGCAGTCAGTCAGTGTCGAAGATTCTTCCTGTAGCTGGTGTGATCTTACTGCTGGCGTCCCTCAAGGCGGTATTCTTTCACCTCTTCTGTTTTCTATCTTCATTAATCTTATCATCCCAAGACTTCAGTGTTCCTTTCATCTCTACACTGATGACTTGCAGCTATACTACCAGACAGAGTTGTGCAATGTATCGTCCGCGATTTCGGCTATTAATAGTGACCTGACAGCCATTAAACACTGGTCTGATATGTTTGGCGTATCGGTCAATCCAAACAAATGTCAGGCTATTGTCATCGGGAGTAACCGAGCTATGAGCCAGCTCGACCTTGCCTCACTTCCACCACTTACCTACGATGGCATGGTTATTCCATACTGTGAGAGTGTGAAAGACCTCGGAGTGTATATTGACACAACTCTGAGCTGGCGACAACAAGTTGCATCTGTGTGCCAGAAAGTGACAGGTTCGCTGCGGGCCCTCTAGAGACTTAGAAACTTTCTTCCATCGAAAACTAATGTAATGCTTGTTCAGTCTCTTATATTCCCTATAATCGACTATGGTGATATGTGCTACTTTGACCTGAATGCAGATCTGCTCAATAAGCTTGACCGTCTTCTCAACAATTGCATTCGATTCGTTTTCAATTTACGCAAATACGATCACGTGTCTCAGCATCGCTCTCATTTGAAATGGCTTCCAATTCGCCAACGCAGACAGACACGAGCATTAACTACCCTATATTCTTTACTCTTTTCCCCAAACTCTCCTTCCTACCTCACTCCTCAAATTCAATATCTAGGTGCAAACCACGCTAAAAATCTTAGATCTTCAGACAACCTACTTCTTCACTGTCCGACTCACCGGTCTGACTTCGTACATTCCACTTTTTTGGTACAATCTGTCCTGTTATGGAACGCGCTCCCTCTCGAGATCAGGATGGCAAAAACTCGGCAAACATTTAAATAACTGTTGCGGCAACATTTTTTAAACACTCTATCAAATCCATCTTAATTTTATACTCTCTCCATTTAGAATTTATATTATGTGTATTTAAGTATATAAATGTAAATGTATGTATATTTATGTATTATGTGTATTAGTATTATATGTGTATTACTTATTGTATTTATCTTTAAAATTATTCCAATGTTATTTATATAAGTACTCTGGTTATATGATATTCTAGATATGCTATAGTTTTAATAAATCACATTTTTAATTTCTGTGCATCTACCACGTTTGGCTCTGCATCGCCCTAAGGTCGACTGGTAGAAAATGCCTACGGCATTAAGTCCGCCTTTGCCACATTTGTGCATAAAGAATAAATAAATTCATCCTTCACATTAGTTGTTATTAGACTTGCAACGAATATTCGGTTACTATTCGGTATTCGGCATATTCGGCTGCTTTTATTATATTCGGCCGAATACCGAATATCTACATATTATTCGGCCGAATACCGAATACTTAAATAATATATTTTGTCATTGAGAAATAATTGGTAAAATGAAAAATTAAAATCGATTGATTACGTATATATTCATATTTTCATTTCTGTTATAATCATTTAAGTAGTCATTGGTGCATAACACAGGTACATAATCATCTTCTGATTTGGAAAAATGGAGGATTCTATGTATTTGAATTATTGTGGTAATCAAAATTTAGAAGGGTAAGGTTCTCATTTCTTTTATAATCATTTATTAAGTAGTCATTGGTACATAAAACAGGTACATAATTTAATTCACATATGTACAAGTTTTTGGCGCTAAAATCCAGCCGAATACTTTTGCCTAATATTCGGCTATTCGGTCAGGGGCCTCGCCGAATATTCGGTATTCGGTATACTGCCGAATATACTATTCGTTGCAAGTCTAGTTGTTATATAAGAATCGATTTATTTTTGTTTTATTTTGAATAAAAGATACTCTGTCTGAATACTATAAAGTTGCGTTTCAATGATCATTCTCATTGGCAAGTGTAGCCCGTTAGTGTTAACTTGAGACCTGAGCGCCGTTGTGTACTACCTACTGCATCAGGTCTCAAGTTAACTCTTGCGGGTTCTTGTTTAGAATGAATGTTTAATCTCCGCTAACAAAGCTCACAATAATTAACAGCAGATATAACGCAGAGGCGAGACCTCGTATCGGCCATCGGAGTGGGAGTTCTCTCGCTCGATAGCCTGATTGCGGCTATCGTGCGGAGCGAGAGTGCGTGGAACTCTGCCGTGTCGCAGAACGACCTACTTCCTTCATAAGCGCAGGCCTGGGGGTGACAGGTGAGGCCATCTGTCACCCCACCCAAAAAAAAAGGGAATATAATCTGTGTCGCGTGGGACTTAACAAACATATATTAAATGGACACAAAGAACACCCAGACTCAGAACAACATTCTGTGGATCACACAAAGTGTCGTCTCATGTGATCCGTTCAGTTGTTATACATATGTACATACTAAATACACATACATACAATACGTCATACATACTAAATACAACTTACATACATTTTTATAAATTATCAGCAATGCCAATGAAAATAATGTATTCTGTTCTCAATAACAGTATGAGTCAAGAATGGAAATGATATTTTTATGAATAATAATATGAAATTTTTAAGTAGGTGAAAACATGGGGACGCTAAAAAATAAGCGGCTATGCACGCGATAATTTCTATTTTGCCTAGCAATTTTGGCGTAGTTTGTCATATTCTAGACATAATCTATCTCTGTACCCTTCACTCAATTACGTTTAGCCGTTGTGACGTGATTGAGTAATAAGTATCCATCGATTCAAACTTTCACATTCATAACATTTGACTGTTTCATGATCATCATCAACTCTCTTTAATAGTCCACTGCTGGACATAGGCCTCTTCTTAGAAAGAAGTTTTTGGCCTACTATACCACCCTGGCCCGACAGGTTGGCATAGTGTTTGTTTCCAGTTTTCCTTCTCTTTGCAGTGCTCGGTTCTCTTACGACACACACGGGATAAATAGGGGGGTTGTGACACTCCGTATTTTTAATGCGTCACCACACGGACATTAGACTGTATGATGTGAAAAAAACCGAAATTATTAATAAAAATATTACATTCACAATCTTTATGGCCGCCTTATCTAATGATATTTTCTGCGGTCGAATGAACCAGAATGAACTGTACGACAGTTTCTGCGCTTCACGCAATAAAGACGCGTCATATCGAGGTAGTTCTAAATGTTTGTACAAACGAAAATGAAACCATTTGAAGTAACGAATGAAAAATATCACTTGGGTCATTTGTTTCGAGATATCATGAACAGGGACCCCAGTGCAATTTGTCAGGTACCTAAATTACTTTGTTCTTTGTCTGTGTTGACCTTGCATGTTATAAAAAGCGGCAGCAATTGTCATTAAAAGCTAGTGTAAAGTGCATTCATTGATAAGTTACTTGGTCATAGAAGTAACAAATGACAATTTTACTACGGTTAAGTTTTTATTTTATACTCGTATATAATTAGTATATTTGTTTATTTCGGTATCATATTTTTAATAAAATTTTAAACACATTAATGTTAAGTTGGTTTCTATATGTTTTTAAAACTGGAAAAGTTCTGCACCGATGGAACGTAACTTTTATTACGATACGAACTGCTTCAAAGATTGTTTATATCTATTTTTCGCGTCAGTTTTTGATTCTCATTTCTCATTAATGCAACCATAATGCGCCAAAGGGAAGCGTGGCAGGGTACAGCCAGTAATAAATAGTTAAGCTCTCAAAGTTCAAAAAACCTTTGTATCTAGTTTTCAAAGTTCTAAGAGGAAAGAATTGTTAAAATTCTGCACATCTACATCTTCCACATACAAACATTAAATATTCCAAATGTGATATGTAACTTGGGTGCGCCACATTAGTTTAAGAAGGGGAAACAGAATTTTCATCACACATTAATATATAGATACCTACCTGTCCATGCTAGTCCATGCTTCATACTAATTTTATAAATGCGAAAGTGTCTGTCTGTCCGTCTATTGTTTGTCTACCTGTTACCTTTTCACGCTTAAAGCGCTGAACCGATTTACATGAAATTCGGTATAGAGATAGTTTCAGTCCCTTTAAAGGACATAGGATAGTTTTTATCATTCTTTAAGGGGGTGAAAAGAAGGTGTAAGTCTGTATGGGGAATCAATAACCGCTGAACCGAGTCAGGTAAAATTTGGTATGGAGAGATAGTTTGATTCTAGATAAAGGATTTAGGCTACTTTTTACGGCGAAAACCAACTTACACGAGGGCGGAGCTCCGGGCAAAAGCTTGTAGTTTTATAAATGTTGTTGATTTAGAGTTTAAAATATGTAACCGTTTGCCATTAGAGTGTAATCCATGCTTAGTCTTATAATCTTCAAAAGACTTTACCTTAGCATTCAATTTGTTTTTTAGATATATTTTTTATCAAAGCCATACTGTCAAACTTTTTATATTGCATTTGTTCTTGCTTTTCTCCTACTACCTCCTACTTTTCTCCGTAAATACAAGCTATTATTGATCGATAAGTAATTTCTCAGTGGTTTTGTATTTAAATATCAAATTTCTTCAAATCGAAAATAAACATAAAATTACGTAATAAGCTAGTTTACTAGTGACCCATGAACTATGAACATAATATAATATTTACCTAATTATTTAAAACGATAAATTTCTAATTGATTTATTTTATTCTTCGTTATCACTGAGACTGATATACTTACATGTACAATATTTGTTATACACTTAAACTGGTCGATATGAAATACTTGAAATGTATATAATCAATTGCCAACATGTATGTTTGACGTAACGACTGGAAGTAAATTTAATGTAAATAATCCATACTGCCATATTTGTATTAGCAATGTGAAAGTAAGATTGTTTGTTTGTCTGTTCGTTACGCTTTCAAGCCTAAACCCGTAAACCGATTATTTAATTTTTTTACCAATTGAAAGCTACGTTATCAGCGAGTAACATACGAGTATACGTGGGCGGAGCCGCGGGTAAAAACTAGTACTTACAAATAAATTTAGTTCAGTTCAACAAATTAACAAGTGCTAGGTATGTTGCTTTAATTAAAACATATTTTGCGGGCGTATTATTTCATAAAAGCACCTCTTGGAGAATAAGAAGTAACTAAAAGTAAAATAATATTCCACAATGTTTTATTTCATTTTTAATTAACTTCAAATATTGTGTTTTATTCAATTACCTATTCAACATCATATCAAGTTTAAAAGTTTATTTTCTATTGTAAACAGTTATTGTAATTTGCGTACCATGATGGTTAACATAGATATACCTACTTGACACCCGGAAGTTCACATAGTCTCTATTTTTAAGGCTCCGTACCTCAAAAGGAAATAACTGAACCCTTATAGGATCAATTTGCTCTCCGTCCGTCCGTCTGTCCGTCTATCTGTCTGTCAAGAGCATAAATTATCTCAGGAACGCATGGAGGTATCGAGTTGAAATTAAAACGATATACTTAAGTCTACAGTCTCTTGAAGGTGTGAAAAAATCAAACTTCTAACTTAACTTAAAAAAAGATACGGATCCGAAAAAAACGTATAATTCGACACTTTCAAGGAAATCAAAATTTATAGGGTATTTTTCGTTTACCTAGAACTGTGAAATTATGCAAGTCATACCGTCTCATACTACAAGTATAGGGAAAAATCTAAAAACTGTACATTTGTAATTAAATCATAAAAAAACAGAGTCTTTATGCAAGGAATAGAGTTAATTGGCACAATCTTAAACAGATTTTTAATTATTTTTATGTTGTATAGTTTTCGATTATAGCTTGCTATTTATGAATACTTTAGATGTAAATGGACCACGCAATAATGTCTCGGTTTCTGGACCAATACCAGACGCAATACCTTTAACGCAATTGATTCTTAGCTCAAAACAATATACTGCGTTCTTTCTGTCACACAGATAGATGCAGCAACAGGTGAGAGGGAGACCAACGCAACAGTATTACGTCGGTCAGTGCAGCTAGCACGATGTCTGAGACGTTATGGAACTCAGCCCGGTGACGTGCTGGCCCTGGGCAGCTATAATCACCTCGACGTGCATATACCCTTGTATGCTGCTGTTATGAATGGCATGCCTGTCACTGGCGTTGAGTTTGGATCTACTCCAGCGATAGGGTTTCCGTACGAGTATAGTAAGTTTTGCATTTTCTTTTTTTGGGAATATAAGGCTACTTCTAGTATGATACCTAGATTTTAAACCCTCCATTCTGACCAATCTGGTGCTAAGTACTAGCAGGCAAGAGAACTTGTGTCTTTATATTGACAGAAAATCACAAGAAAAAAAGAACCACTTGTGCACGTTTCTTAGTTGCGCAGGTAAAAATTTCTTCTGATCTTTTCCAAAGAGAGAGAGATAGAAAATCATACAATATTTTTTTACAGTTGACATAAAACAACACTTCAAAGTGTGTTCACCAAAAATTGCATTCTGCCAGAAAGATTACTTTGACGACAACCTGCGAGCTATTAAGGAACTTGGGTTGGACACGAAGCTGATCTGTTTTGACCACGAAGATTACTCTATGAAGAAGTTTATAGAAGAGTACGATGATGATGGTGATGAAGAATTTGAGTTAGTTCTTTTTTCATCTTACATGAAAAAATATTTACATAACAGAAAGTTACTGAACCCAGTGACAAAATAATGGTTAAGATTTTGCAGACGATATCTGCTTATATTAAGATGTAATGGTAGATTGTTGGCTACTTTGAAGGTACCGTCACTGACATATGATATTTTAATTAAAAAAGAAACCTCGACAAAATTGATAGAAGGTAGGTATTAAAAATCTAAAGCTACCCTCGGTTATACCAGACATGAGCATATGTTTGTACATCATCATCATCAACAGCCTTTAATAGTCCACTGCTGGACATAAGCCTCTCTTTAAGTATAAGTATAATATTATCTTTGTCAGGTGATTAATATTGAGGCCATCTGTCACCCTAGCAGAAGCAGGCTGGGGTGGCGGCGAGCGTGTTGCGAACCGTGCGTGCTTCCAGGGAGCAGAGGGAACATGGGGTTCCCACACGGGGGGGGGGGTCGTCTATTTGTTGTAGATGGGGCACCTACAACGGGGGGCAGGGACTTCCTTTCTAGGGTATACCTGGTTCCCCGGCTATTAGTACCCGAGACGGCGCACTGTGGAATATTTCGGTGTGTTTCGGATTAAAAATCTGTAACTCCGTCAATTCGAAAGATAAAGCTATCAAATTTTGTTCTAATATAAAGTAATACATAAGAGTTCATATAAGTAATGTTTGATGAATTGGAATGATGCGTATTTTTTTTTAATTGATGAAGAAAGTCACAATCATTAAAAATAAAATTCATTTATTGAAATATATTTTTTTACAAACATATCGTATGTGTATTTTTTAATTCTAATAACTCAATTAAGATGAATAACATTAAAATGATTACATAAAATTAAAAATCTAAAAATACCTGTAACACTACGCTTAAATATAGAAACATATTGAATTAAAATTATCGCAATATATATATTTTTTATTGATCAGCAAGATTGACATCTTACACCCTGTGAGCTTCAGGATCTGAAATAAGTTCATTAACCTTGAGAAGGTGTAAAGTATCTTCATCGAGCTCCTTAACATTTTTTGCATATGGTTTTCTTATGCTCATTATATATGGATCTGAGGTGTAAAGTAGTGTATTCAACACATCTTCGTTTGTTGCTATTCGAGAGCATTTCCGAGCATGGTGTAAGCGAAATTTTTTATAGTCCTTATTGCGAGATTCTTGAGCATCTTCTGAAAGTTGTCCAATTGGTAATACTGCGAAATGGTTTATGATACTCTCTCCGTGAATTAAAATTTTGTGGACAGATGATGGCATGTAATACCAACTATATTTACTCACGTATATTCTTGCTGTTTCCAGAGCATAATTACCAAATTTATTACTATCTACCACTATACCAGATGACAAAGCCTGTAAAATTATGTAAAACCGTTTAATTAAATCAATGTCAACTCCTTTGATATCAGCAGAACAGGCAGCATTGTAAAAAAATCTTCTAGCAGTATTGCCATCATTACTATTTCCCGTCCCCTGTCGTGGCTTGTCAATATTTAGACCCAACTCTTCACGAATTCGCTTCTGTACTTCAGCCTTTTTTTCTTGTTTGAGTCTTTTTTTTTCTTCGCTTGTAGCAGACCACGTTTGGAAAGATAGATTATATGATATGTGTAATATCATTTCCATGCAACGAATCCAGGCATGTAATGTGGATAATCCGTATTCATAAGCATTTTCATTTTCAGGCCTGGCTGTTACTTTTGTTAAATCATTCATTTGTCTAGGAGTTGCTCCGCATATTGTACACGTGGAACTAGAAGGCGTATCTGTTAAAACTTGTGCCACTTTTCCGTCTATCATCGTCAAAAAAAGTTCATGCTTGACTTGAACTCCCACGCTTTCTTTATTAATTACTGATGGAAGCAAAGTTTGTATTTGATTTTTTATTTCATCTACAACAGATTCAGTTTTTTCTGGTGTTTCTTTGCAAAATTCTATAGATATAGGCCGACAAAAACGAACAGATGAAGGCACTGGATTTTGCCATATGATGGCGCCTGTTTCCTCGTCAATTAATCTGATAGGCACAAAAGAAGTAATAAATAAATTTGCATCGGAAATAAGTTCAGACTCCTCTGGTAGAGGTTGCTTGTACTGGCTTTGTCCAGATGACACATCACAACCCCATTTGCTATATAATATTAAATGTTTTTGTCCATTCTTGTAAACTGTATCTATACATAAAATTCGAGCTGCAGTGTGATCTAATAGATCTTGAACTCTCAATATTTTTGCATAAGTATTTGTGATTTCGATTGTTGATGATGGTGGATAGCATCTCTGTTTCATTTCTTGTATTTTGTAGTATGGTGGAAATAAAGAACAGTTTCTTTCATCTGTAACGTTCCTGAGATACAGATATTGTACCTTTGTTAGTTCCAAGTCGATGAAGACACTTAAGGCTTCTTCATCTGTAAGCCCTTTAATTATTTTTGCATCATCTAATTGATTTATAACGAAAACCTTTTTCTGTGCATCAGCCAACCTTAATTTTTCAACAGCTTTTGCTTCAGTTCCTTCTCCTATAGAACGCAATCCTTGAAGATATGCGCTTAGAATGTGCTCCAAACCATATTCATTTAGCAAAACGGTGTTTTTCCTTTTTTTGCTCGATTGTGAAGAGTCTCCATATGACACACACGGTCTTCCTCTTTTACCAGAAGAAGTAGACGGTGTAGAGTCCGTTGACACGTTTTCTGATGTTGGTATGTTTAACGAATATTCAGAATCCAACCAATTGGTGTTCTTTCTTAAAAAGGTATTCTTATTGCGTCCTGCTTCACTCCAGCGTTTATTAAACGATCGGATGATATCCCTTTGAATATGACCAATAATTAAACATATATTGTCTTCTGAAACTTGTTTTCCCTCCAAATATGTTGAAAGTGCCGCAGTCGTTTTTCCGCCTTCTATATAAGACACTATTAACTCACGTTTAGTACAGTTAAAAGTCGACATATTGAATAATGAAACAGCCGTACTAGAGTAGGTAGAAACGGTTATGGAGAAATATTTTTTCACTGCCCTTTTTATATTGTTTCAGTATGTGGGAATATTTCAGATATCTATTTTCTCACGAAAAATGACATCGAAATGATAAAAACTTAACAATATTAAATAATTAATTCATAAAACGTATTACAAGTTATTGATAATAAAAGTAAACTACGAAACCGCATTTGATAGCGATTTCTGTTCCCAGACTAGTATTCGATTTTTTCCCATATCTTCGTAAACCGCAAAAAACCGCAGCTAATTTTTTTATATGTTTTAGGTGAGTAACTAACCTATGAATTACCATTAAATTCAAAGCATCGGTAAACAACTCTAAATGGTAAAAGCTTCGACGAAGTTGAGGAAGGAATATTTTTTCCCCATTTTTTCTTTATATTGGTTTTTAATTATATATTAGTATTAAAAACAATCAATTGTATTTATTTATTTCCTCTGATAGATGAGCTTTATAAAAATATATAATACCCTATACCTTTCATTTCAAGTTTTAAAACTATTTCACGTTGAAAAACGTAAATAAACAACTAAATATTTCCCAATTGCTTAAACGTTTAACTTTACTACATGAAAAAAAAATTTATACCAAATACAATAGGAGTTACGCTGCAGAATATTAAACCTCGACTTCTGAACTTTTAAATTACATTCATAAAGTGCCCAATTTCAATCAGTGATAAAAATCAATTTTGATATGCCTTTGTTCTACCATATTCCACAGTGCGGCGTGCGGTTTTAGTCGGTTCGAGTCCGACATACCATCATGCCATATCCGAGGGGATTTCCGCCCGAAAAAAAAAAGGTGATTAATATTGCAACGACAGCATCTGATATCGTAATCTAATAGTAATAGTTGCTAAGCTGTCCATACTAGACCTACTAGCAATAGTTCGCCTCCCCGCTGATCGTACATACTTTTTTAAATAGCAGTGTATTTAATTTGTTTAGTCTTGACCAATTAGATAATAATGCTGAGTACATATAGATTTTATTTACAAGTTACCAGTCATAAATAAGATTTCGACGACGACAACCAATCTTTCGACTACTCGTAAGATTGGTTGTCGTCGTCGAAATCTTAAAACGTCACTCTGACTAGAAGCAATGACCCAAATTGATGACAAACTTTAGCAATGACGGCTGTTATCGTGCCAAGCAGTCTAAAAGAAAATGCAAAAAATATCTTTCCATGAAGAATTTTCTTTCCGAATTTAAAAACATTCTATAAGATTTATTTTTTCTGTAAATAAAGGCGTAAGATATATACAGATGAGCTAAATCTAAAAAGAAATCTAAATTGACATGCAAGCAGGCTTATCTAATACACAAAAAAATAAAAAAATAGAATAAACAAAAGAGGTATTTTGTATCTACGAACTAATACGAAATGGTATTTGAATACTCTTTTCATCATCAAATCAACAGTCACATCAACAGCCTTTCATAGGCCATTGCTATACATAGGCCTCTCTTTAGAAAGGAGGTTTCGGCCTGCTATACCACGCTGGCCAGACGGGTTGGTATAGGGTTTCTGTCAAGTTTTCCTTCTCTTTACAGTGTTGCTTCCTTAGTCGACTCTTACGACACCCACGGGATGACTAGGATTGGTGCCACTCCGTATTCTTTATCCATCACAACACTCTTTACGAACTAATTATTGATAACTATAAAATTGATAGAATTAATACGTAACACCTGTTTTAGGCCATCAGAGTTCGATTTGGATAAAATATACGCAGGACTGGTAGCAACAGGCGGCACCACGGGGATACTTAAGCTGGCTGCTTTTAAACATAAAGTTGTTGTCAACAGAATTTACGAGATGAAAAACAATCCCTTCTACCAAGCTAAAGAGGGAGAAAGGTATGCTCTGTGTTATTTTATACCTCTGTTGTAGGTTTCGTACTGTTAATATGACTTCCTGGTGATTAAGCACAAATTTGGTGGTATATATTCTTACATAATATAAAATAAAGTCTCTTGTTTGTGTTGTACGCTTAGATCTTTTAAACTAAGCAACGGATTTTAATGCGGTTTTTCACCAATAGAGAGAGTGATTCAAAAGGAAGGTTTATATGTATAATACATGCATATTATAAGGGTAAATCCGAGACTTTTAAAGATTTGTCTTAAAAAACATGTTTTTGTGCGCTTACATTGGAAACGCTGGCTACACCTTACGAGATAGACCAGAATAATGTAATATAATTAAAAAGATCTAAAAAAATGGCGATGGTGTATGTCTATCTCCTAAGTATCACCAAAATATCTTTTAAATATTACAGAAAAATAATGAGTTATTTACGAAGCTATTTTAAACAATACATTATTATTCCTTAATCAATTAAAAACATTAGATACGTTGTGCATGTAATGTAGATTAAAATTGCTCTTTGTAGCATATCATTAAAACGAATGTTTTAGAAGATATCAAAAGTTTCAAATGCGGGGGCCCAACGGCCGGCATGATCGGAGCGGGCCTATAAATACTTATTGCATTTAAAGATGTCTTTAACTACTCTACACCGACAGCACATTAGTAGTATCTACATTACACCCGTGCGATGTCGGGGTTAATCGCTAGTTTTTAATAAATAATGAGCAGCATCAGTAGCTTGTGTCTGTCATATGCATATTTCATATAGATATCCGAAATATTATTATATACGAAAAATATTACTGCTCCCAAAAAATAGTTCGCACTATCATTCAAGTAAAATAAAAAAAGAGTTATGCTAAACTACAAAGTATTTATAAAAGATACAGTTGCCACGACTTGTTCCGGACCTAACGCGGGCTGCGTTAGGCTTAAAAGACACAAATCCGTTGAGAATCTTTGATGTCTTTGATTCTTATCTTACAAGATAAGGAAGAGGGGGTTGTCCTCTGGAGGGTAAAGAATTTCTTAACACCGGTTTTCTGTGATGCCGTGGTACCTCACAAGCAGCCGGCAGCCCAGCCAAGCAGGCCCGTTTGTGCTGAAGCGTAGTTCTCCCAAAGACATACTAGTTGGTACCTACTTTACAGCATCTTAATACACATTACATTTTATTTTTTATTTTTTTATTTTTACACTTTATGCACAAATGTGACAAAGGCGGACTTAATGCCGTAGGCATTTTCTCCCAGTCAACCATAGGTCGATGCAGAGCCAAAACATGGTAGATGCACAAAATAAATTAAAAATGTGATTTTAAGAAAAAATATAGCACATATAGGATATCATATTAACTACATTAGAAAAAAAATACTTTTACAATAAGTGATAATAATACTAACACATACAATACATAAGTATTTATATTTCCATATGCACCTATACATACATATAATTATATTACATATACACTAACATTGGTATCTGTATTCCAGACAAAAGTTGTCACTTGTTCTTTCCCCTGTTAACTGGATATCGATGTTTCTAAGATCAATAAGTTTACCTTATACGAACTACATTAAGCTCACGACGTCAGCACCAGCGACCACGGATCACGTTATTGACATTATTAATAAGTATAAGGTGAGTGGGTAAAAACACTAGTGGCTTTTCTCTGTTTTTTAAGGTTATTTTGTGTTTTGACTGCTTCGGTGATGCAGTGGTAGCGTATGCGACTGCTGTACTACTGCTGAGGTATGGGTTAGATTCTTGGGTCGGACCAAATGTTTGTATGATCTGCAAATATTTGTTTCGGAGTTTGGGTGTTTTTCATGTATAATATCGTTATGTATAAAAATAAAATATAAATTATCCCAAATATTTTGAAGTCACATCCTTATCACATTTTGTTAAAGAATGTTTAGTGAATGTCCGATGTGATTCTTCGATGTGAACTCCCTCGATGTAATCAGACAGTATTCTTTGCCGATTTGCTGGTAGTCCAAATTCTTAGTAATCGATATTAACGGCAGTTCAAATATGTATGCCTAGTCTATTAGAGGGCTACTAAGAGTATGTTGGCTGATTTACATTGCTTCCTGATGCCTGCAAAGACTCCCAACATGATGTGTTGTTGATTAAAAAATAACCAGACTATTCTTCCTCCATTTAAAATCGTTGTTTATTACCCTTTTGCATTTAAAGTAATAAATTAAAAATAAATACATAGTAGTTTACCAACTATTGTTTTTCATTAAAAAGTTGTTATTTACCTATAGTGTATGTTCTTTTTTAGCCAGCAGTCTCCTTAATATGGCCTCCGTTAGCGGTTTCTTTAATCGCCTGCAAAAAAGAATGTGACTTCACTTGCTTTGACTCAATCACTTTGGTAGCTGGTAAAACTGCGCAGAATATCCATTTAGAGCTCAAGGTATGTACTACTTACTCTACAGATCTAGTTTTTTTAATAACATATATTTCTATCGGTAACTTTCAAATACAACTCATGACGATAATAAATCTTCCCCAATCAATTTATTCACAGTCAGGTTTTTACAAACGAAAAAACCTAATATGAAAAAAATTAAACGAAAACGATTTATTTATATGATTTGATGAAATAACGAAGACGATTTTAATTTTCTTTTTGCTTTTTATAATGATACTGTTTCTTTTAAACGTTATGCTATACTATATTGGGTCTAGTTGTTATTAGTTATTAGGCTACCTCCGTGCCTAGGAAAGCAAGTTCCGTCGGTCCCGGTTGCCATGCACACATTAGCAATCGTTACGGATAGTTGGAGCTCTAACAAATCTAACAACAGTGTTTCTTGAGAACTGCGATATCGCCTAGCCGTTAGTGGTAGACCTAAAACCAGCCACAACCTGGTTTGAGAAAAGGCTCGGAGGAAGACTAACCCACAAAATTCAAAATTCAATGCTTTGAAAGATTTAACTAGAAAGAAAAAAACCAAACGATGTTATAAACAAATTTTTAAGTTCTTATATTTTTATTTATGGTAGAAAAAACTGCGTCCAGATGCGAAAATAAGCGAAGGATACGGTCAAACTGAAAACCTTGGTTTTATCGTTATGCCAAACCCGTCAGGGGCTCTAGGCAACTGTGGAAAAGAAACTATAAATGGACAGAGTATCAAAGTAAGTTATTTGGAATAGTCTTAGGGCTCGTGTAACCTTTTTTAATATTTTTTAGTATTGCAAATACGTAAGTAGTAATTTTTCACCTTTGTTTAACTTTTCTTTATTATATAATAACTTTATTTAGTTTGAGATAAACTATTGTGCAACCGTTATTACAGTCTTCTCAAAAGCTAAAGATGTAGGTATATACTTCCCAATATTACTTCTGTTCAACGAATTATCATATCTAAGAGTATAATTATATATTTATTTCTGTTTTTGCTGCCTTTAAATAGACACTTAATTGTTATTTATTTAATTTAATGTTATGTTTTATATTATTTTAGTTAGTGGATCCAGATACGGGAAAAGAAGTGACAGAACCGAATGTTAGTGGAGAATTATGGGTGAAAAATGTTTGTTTCTCAGTAAGTAAAACAATTTGAAATAAACATTCTTGGTGGTATAATCAATGTTATTAATTTTGAAATCGCCACCTCACATATACGCTCTAACATCTTGGTTCTATTTGGGAACTTGTGTTTTAAATGACAAAACATTTTTTAATGGAAGAAAAGAGCAGTGCAGAACTCTAACTATTGCCAATTCTGGGCATCATAGTCTGGGATTGGGCCTGATGAGGCTTGGTGTCGATTCGGGGAGGACCTGAAATCACATAATCCAGGTCCTCCCAGAGTAGGGCGCCTGAAGCTGGCCGTCAGGGTGGTTTTTAGTTCAGTCACCACATACTCCTGACTCCCCAAGGATGACACCCTAGGAATATATCTTTACAAACATACTTGAGACGGACACAAAGAACACACACACAAAGAACAACAATTTGTGGATCACACAAAGTGTTGACCAATGTAGGGATCGAACCCACAACACTCGGTGCAGTAGGAAGCGGTGAGGTGGCTGCTTAAACCACTACGCCATCAGTGCCATAAGTAAGTCTCAATATATAATTTAAAGAACATCTTTTTCTGGCACTTAATTCGAGCAGACAGGTACCGGAGGCATTGTTAATAAGTATAAATGTTTCGGCAGGAGTATTTCAACAATCCAGAGGAAACGGCGAGAGCATTTTCGGTCAATGGCTGGTATAAAACCGGCGATTTACTGTACAGGAATGAAGAGGGCAGCTACTTTTTCGTAGAGCGACTTAAGATGATCATCAAATATCTTAATTACCATGTAAGTGTGAGTGAAGAGGAAATACCGATAGAAATTTTTCACCAGTCCCTCAATATTAAAATGGTATCGCTACAATTTCGATCTGTAAAACTAAGAATTAATATTGTTCTTTCGTAACCCAAACAAGAAAATTAAAACTTATTTATATAAAACCAGATATACTTAACATATTGCTAATAAACATATTTCAATATTTATAAATACATTTACAAAAATCAAAGATAAATCACACAATTATTTGTCCTGATTGGGAACGATTCAATAGTGTTAGGTTCACTAACCACTAGACCAACTGGTAACTCAAATACTGTTTAGACTTCAGAATCTGTTATTGAGGTTTGATTTGGTAACAACTGATTTTAGTATAATGGGTAAATACATAACAACCTAAGTCCTAAATACGCACGGGCAAAATGTTTTTTTTTTTTATGCCAAAGAGAAATAGATATGTTTCACTGCCATCCATAGATTTTTCCTGAGGATTTAGAAAAGGTAATTGCTGAGCATCCTGGAGTGGCAGATGTGAGTGTGACTTGTATTCCCCATAATGAAGATCAAGAACACCCGGTAGCTTGTGTTGTGCGAAAAAACGGTGCCACTGTCACTGCCCAGCAGATAAAAAATCTTGTCGCTAGTAAGTACAATACGTTTGTATAATATGCATAATTATGGTTTTTGACATCAGCTTCGCTTGAGTAATGTGGATTTCTTCGGTGTTTCCTTGTTTCGCAGACAGAAATTTCATAGAATTTCGTTTCGCACAAATTGTTTTATAAAATATTTGTTCTTGTATTTTTATTCCGTATATTATTGTTCCCCAATATTGTAATAAGAAACTTGTTTGTTCGGAATGTTTTCTTAAGTATTTTATTTTAACAAAAATATAAAAATAGACGTTACCAAATAATCAATATAAATATTAACAATATGAGAATAAAAAATATTTTATTTGTTATTCTATAAAATGAATACTTATCGAAATATCTGTGAAACAAGTTTTCGTCTGCGGTATTCCCAGACCGATACGACCTTCAAACCTTCAAGAAAAGAGTGTACTCCTTGCTACAAAGCCGGCAATTCCATGTGAAAAAAATATTCTGGGTATTAATTATTCTATTAAATGATAATAAGTATGAGAAAAGAAAACTTGTGAAACAAAATTTTATGAAACAATTTGTATAAATCAACCGGAGTTCAGCAATCAAATCCATTTTCTAGAACTTTTCTTTATTTATCGGTAAAAATCACTTTTCTATTTAACGTTTAGGTATCAATAAACAAAATGTTATGATAATAGGTTGAGTTTGATGGGTCTATTTATTAGTTATTTAAAAATAAGTTTATATATGTACCGTTCGGTTACTGCCTTTTTTAGCAAGGCAAGCATTTTTATTTCTAAGTTGTAAGAATTGCTAAACCATCCCTTTTGTGTAAATTGATGGCAATTGATATTTGTCAAAGACATCTACCATTTTACTTCCGAATGTATATATATCATGGGAAGTCCGACTACTTTCAAACACGAGTGGGAGGGAAGTGCCTTTATCAAGGGATGAAGAGGACCTGCGAGTCTGTGTCCGGCAGCTCAGTCTAAACAGATTTCAATCAGCTTTGGGCAAAATTAAACAAATGTAACCTAATGTAGACTGAAAATCCCTCTAAGTTTTAAAAATTTTCAGATAAACTGGCCGATTATCAAAAGTTGAGAGGCGGTGTTATCTTCATGGACAAAATTACATTGACATCTACAGGAAAAGTCGCAAGAGGCAAACTGAAACAGATGGCGCTAACTGCTCACAGAGAATAAAAATGGCGTCTGAAAATTAGTGATCTTTGTAATGTGTAAGATAATATTAATCAAGTTTGGAAGATAACTTTTTAATAATAATAAATTTTGTTTTACAAGAAAAATTTATAGTTTCTTTATATTTATTGAAGTAAAAACTGATCAACAAACAAAAGAATGTATTTTTTGAGATGGGAAAAACCATTTAACTCGCGACACTGTTACCGTTACCGACACCTCTGTATATAAGTATCTACATATATATGCCCCGTTAACACGAGAGTTGAAATACATTGAAAATATAACTTTATATAATAAACACATATATTGTGTATAAAAGTACAACAAAGATGAAGTTTTTGAATAAAAAAATTACAAAAAAAAACCTGTTATAATCAAAAACAATTTTTTTTCAAGTTTTTACTTCTGTCGGCACTCCCGGAGTGCAGCTGTTTTTATTTTGTTTGAAAAAGTATGTATTTTTAGAAAAACTTGACACCCATGGAGAGTCACGTAACCGTGGGAGAGCTATACTTTGGCACGACTGGGTGGGCTCGACCGGAGTATTATCACGGCCTCACAGGAACTGGTGTTAAGCAGTTGTTTCATTGCTCGTAACCGAGTGAGTGAGGAGCCCAAACCCCCAAAGTTCCAGGGGAGACTCAATGGGTGGTAACACTCTTGAGCCTCTTGAATTGCAGATGTCCATGGGTGGCCGTAGTTATTTATTTATTTCAAACTTGAAACAACAAACAAAGATTTTTTCTTCTTGGGCGATTATTAACCGTGTAAGTATAGTTCACACTTTGAGACTAGGTGTTAATATAGAAATATCCAATAATAAATTCTAATAAGCGACCCAGTTTTACAATTTTTGTCTCTCCTGTACTCCCTGGGTAACCACTCGTAATATATGTTAAGACCCCTACACCCTCTCTAGTTTCCACGTAGTAATTCGTAAATATGGTTTTAAATCATATTGCAAACGGAAAGGAAAAAAAATATTTGGCTCAAATTTGTATTACGAACATACTGTCAAAAAATTGTAAATTGTAAAATCATATTCTAAATTCAAAAGTTTAAATCACTTTTTTACATCAGCTCAGCCTCAGATTGAAAGAAAACCTCCTTTGAGAAAAAAAATTGCAGTTGTCTGGAACACAAAATTAAATTTTCGATATTCAAAATTTTGAGGTTGATACAAAAACTACTTTAAGATAGAGTACTTTAGAAATAGTTGAATAAACTAAAACATGCTTTTGAACCAAAAGTAGAAAATAATTTTCTATAACTTCAAAAAGAAAAATCATTTTAAACTAGACTTTTTGCTACACCTCAGCGATTGCCGAAACAATGTGAATAAAACTGACTTCAAAAACTGACTTATGATAGTAAAATTACCTCTGATTGTACAAGCAGAGACATAACTACTACACTACTACATGTACAATGTACATGTAGTAGTGTATCTTGAAGATGACTTGCGGTCGCCTGCGGTTGCCACCTGGGTGTAATAACACCCACAAGGCCAAGGGCAAGGCAAGATCAATAGTAAAATTATAATATATTGAACCGGTTTTGTTGAATAATGTAACGCCTAGCAACCACATACACACATGTACCTTCAATATTTGTCAGACATGTACTTCTTCTTAGTTACAAACAGTAGTTTAGTTTTCAGTAATGTGAGCATTATTTAAATTCACCCGCATGACTGCACGGATGGTGTAGTGGTTTAAGCTGTCACGTGGGTTCGATCCCCTTATGGAACAACAGTTTGTATGATCCACAACACTATGTGTTTTTTGAGCCCGCCGCGACACACGATATAAAGTTGATCGGAACTGAATTGTGACCGAACTTTCATTACGAGATTTGGCCTTTTGGGAGAACACAGAGCCTCACTAAGTTACTTTAACTGTAAGTAGAGTAACACCATGAATAATAATAATACCGATTGCAAGGATTCCGTACTGGTTTAAGCGGGCACCTCGCAGCTTCCTATTGCTGTACTATGGTACTGGGCTAGAGCTTGTACTATGGTACCTAGAGTGATGATGAATATAGTTATTGATTTCTAAACACATGGATTATTAAAAATGAATTACTTTCACCCAAACACAGAACAAATGATCGTGCTCATCACACAATTAATTGTCCTAGGTTGAAATCAAACCCACGACCTCTGGCTTAGCAGTCGGGCCACCAGACCAATAGGCCCATCGAAATAGATTTCTACAGTATATTTACATATACATGAATTTTTTTTATGCCTACATATTAATCCTTTACATACCTACGTATCGCACGATTTGACGTCACGATTCGTTCCATCCAATAGGACTGCTAATCAAAACATTCGTCAGAGATCTAAATATATTTTTTTTAATGATCAGGTTTCAAGACAAGTTACCAAAAATAACGACATATCACAGAAAAATAATATTTAAGCATACAACTTTAGGCCCGCAGCATCACTCGCTTTAAGTCGATAATGTTACGTAATATACTTTTTCCCAGTATTTTTTTTTATTTCCAGAAACATTTTTTATATATTTTGACCATAGCGCGCGAACTCGTAGCGGTGCAGCAGTGTAACAATTTAATTCAAGGCCATCGCCATCTATGAAAATGATTTGTAAACTTTTCTACATTGTGTAATTTTATCCCACCAAAAACATTTTCATGTAAAATGTTGCCGATACCATATAGCTCGCACTGTCAAAAAGTTATTAGATCTCTAAACAGCCAAACCACATATCCTAACATATAACAGAAAACGTTGTCTCGTCTTTTATTACGGCTTTACAGAGAACCAGTGACTTAAGGACATCCCTAATTCTGTAGGCGACAATCATAAGGCATAAACGCGATTGTGTCATTGAACTTGCAGGAGTTTAGGTGTTTATGGGCGACCGACGGTAGTCAGTAACCATAAAGTGACCCGTCCGGCCCGAATTTATAATGGCATACTTTTAAGATGGCATCATTTTAATTACCATTAAACCTTTAACCTTTGGAAAAGTTAAAATTCCGCATAATATCGTTTGCCAGAACGTTTATTTAGAGCGATGATTATTTGGTATTTTATTATTTATTAGGCATATTGCAATGCTATTTAGCATTATTATTATGTATTATCTTAAAAAGTCTTGTCTTTCTACAAAAGTTTGTGACAGAAACGAATCGCTGTAAAACCGGCATAACGTAGTCTTGGCTGCCCTACCCCTTTTTAATTGTAAGTCAAGCCCGCGTAGGCGCGAGGCGGTCCACGAGCTGAGGAGGAGGTGGTTTTAATGCTCGCCGCCGCGGCTGAGGCTGGCCAGCGAAGCGGGCCAGCAAGCCGAAACTACGGTGGTGAATGTTGAATTCATCTGTGCAGTTGAATTCCGCTGCGACGGAGCCTTGAAAGATGTTTCTCAATGTAAACTACCTGATATACGATAGTTCTGCCTTTTAATGACTATCAATATGACATTTATGCTCAAAGACAATCTCAAATAAAATCTGATTTATGTGATATGATTGTTCAACTTTTTAATTATTATGGATATGAAGTTTATGCCTAAAAATTACTTACTTCCAAAATTATTGGTATTGAATGTATGATAAGTGAGTGTCTGCCAAACAATTTCCTGCGTAATAAAGTTTATGGTATTATGCAAAATATATAATATTATGACATAAAAGGTTCTGGTATAAGGGGTAGACCCGTTTATAATAGGCCTATGAAGTTGGAGATTTTTAAAACCAGCATTTTCAGATTTAATCACCTGTGGATTGGAGCGCAGTTCGAAATTCAAATAAATTTTAATTTGCTTTAAAATTTAGTCATTTGTTTGTGATAGTATTTTGCTTTTCTGAAATTGTGGTATTTTTGGCGACATCGAAGGGCCCAGTCGTACCCTATGTTTCACAGGAGTGGTTCGAGAACAGATCCCTATGGAACCATTTCGATTCTCGTACGTGATGATACACTCCTCTAAATAGTCTGCCACTAGCCGCCTCAAGTACTCTGGCACGCAGTGGTATTGGAGTGCTTCCCTGATGCAGCTGACAGACTATTGAATGCGTTGACGATGTCCATAACGGACGTTACGCATCCGTGACGGGCGGAACATCATCCCCATTCGCTGGGGTGTGTGTTCCGCTCGTTGTACGAGTTGCACTAGTACAGGCCGCGCGGAGGTATGCCAACTCTTGGGACCTCCAGTAAACCTTCCTTGGAGGTCGACGACCTCGGATGTGGGGCATGGCCGCATCGCAGATATGCGTTATCGCATCGCGAAAGCGACCAGCCCCCATGCCGACCTCCACGGTCGGGGCCTGCGGAGACAGCCATGAATGAGTGATAGCTGCCTCTTCCAGTAGGTCCCTGTTCAGTTTGGCAGCAGCCCACCGCGGAAAACTCCGGGAGAGCTCAAATCGAATATATAGGTTATCAGAGAGCGTCTCAAGCTCTGGGGAAACCCAAGCAATAGACTCAGGACTAGGTTCAGGGCCAAATGAAATATCCGCCTGATGGTTCATTCAAGAGGCTCCACATACTGGCTTTGCCGCCGTGGAGGCGCTCCATCCGGCTATCATCGAGTAGGCAGGGCGGCAGCATGAGACCATTTTCTTCCGACTGACGCAGGTCCTTTCCGGGCACGGCTGCTTCGGTAAGTACCTGCACTCGGTCGCTAGGAGGGAAATGAGTCCCGCCTGCCACCACTGCAATTGCAGTGAGGGCTCGGCTCAGCACACGCTGGTAATCTGCCTGGCTTAGGCGTAGCACCGTGGGGTCCTCACTGCAGTCATCGGAGGAGATCTCTCGCTACCGGCCGTCATACGCTCCATGGCCGCTAGTGATAGTTGTTTTACCGCGGTCGCATCCTTCTGCGAAGAGGTCATCTCGAAGAAGGAGATGGCGGAGAGGGCCCGGGAGGATGATCACCACTCGAACCCAATTCGCCGCCGACGAACCGAGCGGCGCTTACCAGAGCCTCATGTCGCCCTGAGTGTCTTCGCGGATGGACAGGACGGGTTTTACCCTCCGAGGAGACGTTTGCGTGTGCCGGACGTCGCCTAAATAGAGTATATACCCGAAGGTGGTACAAGCGCCGTTGCGAGCAGGTGCTAGGAGGGGTCCGGATGTCTTAATAACAGCAGTTCCCGGATCACTCCCATTATAGGCGCAAAGTGGCACACCGTGTGGTTTTAGTCGGTCCGATGCCGACACACCACCCCGCCACAAACCCAATCTAATAATCATATTAGATTGAGAAAAAACCTGTATCTCAAAATCACAGACATATATTATGCCTGGATTTTGAATAACAAAGTTACACGCTTGTCTCATGAATCTACACGTGTACAAACCACACACATATTTTCATATACAGGTTTTTTCTCAAACAGATATAATTAATTATTTGCACGATGTAGTATCGTGAAAATAATGATACGATACCGTATGTATCTATGTCCTCGGGTGGTAACTGGTAGGATAGTGTGTACATCATACAAAAAAATAATTGAAACAGGTCATGTTAGATATAAAAACGTATATTTGTATATTATGCCAAATAATTATTTTCGAAAGTTTTGCAAGTTATCTTCATTAAAAGATATTGTAAACATTTGTTTCAGAAATTTGAATCTTATTTAATTAAAAAATTAGAAGATACGGACACGCTTTGAGAGTTTCGAAACCATACAACTCATAATGTATTTATTTGAATAAAGAATTACTTCTATCTTATCCTTATTTTTGTATAATCTATAAAAATATATATAACCATTAATTCATTATGTATTTGACCCTTTAGCCTTTGTTCAGCTGTAAAATAATAAAATCCTGTGTTCACACATATGATTTTTATTATTTGCCTAGAACAGCAATGACAACAAAATATCAAAACAACAAAACACGTCTCACACACAGACAACTGATGATCCCAAACTAGGAAAAACTTATACTAAGGTGCATACTCATACACGCAGCCGCAAAGGCAAAAGCTTAAAATGTTAAACTAAAGTTAAGTGTTAAAAGAAGTAATAGTAAGTTAATGTATGTTAAAGATTTTCTGTGAGGCCGTGGTATCTATTACTAAGGTCGAGCCAGCCTATATGTATATGTCGAAGAATGAAATATCTTCAACAGTTTATGTCTACGTGACGGGCTCGTGTCTAAGTAGTAACCGAGCAGTAACTTACTACGCGTTGCAAAGTTAAGCAATCCTAGCCAAGTCAGTCTATGGATGGCTGACCAGTCTTAACACATTGACCCCTCCGTGCCTCGGAGAGCACGTTAAGCCGTCGGGCTCGGTTGCTGTACGAACATCTTTGGCAATCGTTACGGGTAGTTGGAACCCTAAAACGTCCGACAACAGTCTTTCTACAGAACTTTTGATATCGCCTCTCCGACCTCCATGAGCGCTGACCTGTTAACGGTGAGGCTGCCCGTAACTCTAGCAGGAGCAGGAATATGACGATGGCGCGACGTGTTTCACGCGCGTCTCTCTAAACTGGAATTAGGACAACGCCCTCTACACTCAATAGTGTGGTTGGCTATGGTGGTCCAAGTGACTTCCTTTCAAGGGCATACCAGGCGGAACATCGTGTGGCTTTAGTAGATTCGATTCTGACATAACTTCACAGTGAACAACCGATGAGGTGATGACCTATGAAGGTGACCAACCGAAAAAAAAGGGTTACATTGGACCGTTCTTGTTACCTAATATTTTTAGTTAAACAACACATGTATATGTATAATTGCCACTATGTATCTTCTTCAGTGTTTTCCTACCAAGTTAACATTCTCGTAAATAAGCAACTAGATTAGCTTTTCTTATCTCAGGTAAAAAAAATTTCAGCTTCATGAATTTCACGTGGACGATCCGTGTAAACTCGACGAGGCTTTTTTCAATAACACTAGGGGGGAGGGGAGTGATGATATATAAAAGCAGTCCGGCAGTTTTTAAACAAGTTTTGATAAAGTCGTATATTATTATTCGTCTATCCCGATCATCATAAGGTCAGGTCAACAGCAGGCGGTACAGAGCGGTGCGGTTGCTATCGGTGTGCAGACATAAACTATAGTTGCATTGAAAATGAAACCGTTTAACGTATCCAATAACAATTACCATTTGGGCCACCTTTTCCGAGATACAATGAAAAGCAGACCCGATGCCATATGTCAGGTATTTTCTTTTTTTTTTAACTTTGTTCTGTGTGAAATGTTATTACTTTATTTTAGCAATGTTTAATAGTCCTTCACGTGCTTAAATTCTTTATTGTCGTGGCAATTCATTAAATAGGGTAATAATTTAAATATACTATTATTAACTAAAAAAAAACAGACAGAATGTAATAGATTGTTTTTAAAATTTCTACAAAAGAATTAAAAACATCTGCCGAGGCATGGCTCTCCCACGGCAAATATTTTTCCAGTGATATCAGATGGCGCAATAATAAAAGTGATCACTCGATATGTGTTCGACTCCATTCCCGGGACAAAAAATATGTGATTCACAAATAGTCTAAAATATCCTAATCAAAATATTTGTAGTGTCAGTTGTTTTAATCTGTGTAAAGTCACAGCGTTGCGGGAATAATTTTCTTAAACTTCACTTTGTTAAACTGTTTTTTTTACTCTCCCGTATTAGTTTATATGCATCTCAAATATAAATATATTTGTTACTCATAGAAAATTACGGTTTAATTTAAATAAGCATACTATAATTAAATGCATTAACTACATACTCGTATTTATAAATTTGTATTATCGCATTTGATTTTACAAGTGCGAGTCGGACTCACCCACTAAGGGTTCCGTAGAAATTTGTAGGTACATAACATGCTCCGAGCTTTGCCAAAATTCAGATTCCAAAGTATACTTATATTATTGTGTTCTACAAGTGAAATTGTATCTTAATGATGTTTGTTTACGTACTTCAAATAAAGACTATTTTTTTATGATTTTATTACAAATGTATAGTTTACAGGTATTTTTCTGTACTTGTAGTTTAAGACGATGTTACTTGCCTAATTTCATAGTTTTAGGTTAACTGGAAATATCTTATAAATTTTGATTCCCTTGAGTGTCGAAATAAGCTGCTGTATCTTTTTTTTCAAGTTAATTTAGCAGTTACATTTTTTCTTTTTTACAGCTTCAAGGGACTGTAGGCCTCGTAGAGTCGGAGCGGCCCCCCCTACATGGGGGAGGGGGCGGTCTGCCACAGCCTCACTCACTCAGTAAAAAGTAACAAAATAATAACTTCACACCGGTTCTCTGTGATGACGTTAATTTGTATCAACATAACTATATAGGTAGTTATCGAAATGCTAATATTCATTCATTATCCTAAGACGGCAACAAAAAAGTCGTTATTAAATAATACTTATTTTTTACTTACATAGCGGTGTGACCATACCAGCCATTTGACGTCCATGACCTAGAGACCTTTCCAGTCTAAGGACGGACTCATAGACTCAGTTTTGTTTATCTATTGGAGACATGTGGTATACCTAACCCTATCTTATCCTCCGTCCTATCTCTACTAACATTAAGTTTTTACCTATGAAGTTCGAGATTGGTAAAAAAAATTGTTAGTTGTTTAGTTTAGCTAATCAAAGTACCTACTGACCTAAGTTAGCCATACAATTTTGCCATTTTGATGGCAGTTTGTTTATCCCTTTACTATGGAAGTCTGCTGGACGGGAGGCGATGAAGCCAGCGAAAGCGTTTTGTACTGCCTCTCGGGTGTTCGCACTCAAAAAATAATTTGCCGTGAGACAGCCATGCTGTAGTTCACACGGGATGGTACGACCGCGCCGAGGTGATTCCAAGGTCTTACGAAAAACCGGTGTGCAGCATTGTTTTCGTTGCTTTTTACTCCGCTGTTAGGTCCACCCCCCCCTCATTTTATTTACCTCTCAATATATCCCCCTTATTATATTACTAAAAACATACGGATATAATATATTACGGGTTAAAGTATGATTTGTACTGAAAAATTAAAAATAGTTTTTTTCTAAAATGTAACATATTTCACACATCACCATCACATCAACAGCCTTTAACAGTCCACTGCTGGACATAGGCCTCTCCTTAGAAAGGAGGTTAACATATTTATTTTATCAAAATATTTACCCTAATTATCTATACGTTGCTGCGATCTAAACGGAAGTTTATTTATGCCTTTTCGATATCGATGGGCGACATTTCCCGGCATTATCTCTCTATTTCAAATAGAATAATGTATTCTATCACCTAACAGAAAACTACAATATATTAGGGGTTAAAGTATGATTTGTACTGAAAAATTAAAACTAGTTTTTTTCTAAGATGTAACATATTTATATAAACAAAATATTCAGCCTCATTATCTATACATTGCTGCCTTCTAAACGGAAGTTCATTTATGCCTTTACGATAGAACTCCTGGGATCTAGATTCGACAAACTGTGTGAAAGCATGTTGTACGGCCTCCTAGGAAGAATTTTTTTATCACGTAGAAAATTGTCCTAATAAAAAAAAATGGTAGTTCGTTGAAGCAAGATCTGGCGAGTACGGAGGATGATGTATAGTTTCTAACTGCAGCTCCTTGTGAAACGAATAGAGTTATAACGGTTTCTCGTGCCGTGTTAAGGCTTTCTTTATCGTGGAGCAATAATGGTTAAGATCGATTCACGAGTTGGGGCTGCTTCACTGCCAGTTTAGCCATCATTGTTTGAAGTCCGGCACAGTAAACATCTATTGTTATTGCCTGACCAGACCTGAGAAAGCTATAGTGAATAACACCATAAAAATACCACCAAACAGTTACCATTATTTTTTTTAGTAAGCTTTGCTTTAGGGCACTGTTGCGGCGTTTGACCTGGGGACAGCCATTGCATTTTTTTTGGCTTACGGTTATCGTAAACAATCCACTTTTCGTCACATGTCACAATGCGATCCAATATTTCTTCATGTCAAGATTTATGCTCACTTTACTTACAATACAATTGAATTCCAAAAGACTCTTTCAATCTAAAATTTTAGGCAAGGATCATTATGCGGAGCTATCTGATTCAAATTGAACAAAACCTGATCACGAGGGATTTTACCATAAATCTCGTTATTATATCATATTTAAAGCAACGGTTCTAAATTTTCAATTATTTTAAAAGATATTTTAGAACAGACAACGCACGGCGAATCAATAGATATGTTGAAGTGGGCCGGTCATGTCTCCAGGCGGACTCATGGTGGTCGCTGGAATGTACATGTGGAGTGGAGACCGTAGAGCAAACGTAGTGTAGGCCGCCCAACAGCACGATGGACCGACGACTTGATTAAAGTGGCTGACAGTCGATGGATGTCAACTAACCAAGATCGAGTTAGTTTTCGCTCCGTGTGGAAAGCCTTCGGTCATTAGTGGACGCCGATAGGCTAATGATGGTTTTATTATTTCAATATTGTGAGAACCATGCTTAAATGGTACATATAGGATCCTAAACTTCATATACGTATAGCATAGCCGTACACGTACTTAGTTGATGCTTCAGTAGCGATAGTAGCCTGCCTCTTAAATTTGTAATGATACAAACGTTTTTTTCCACCTTACAGATAGACGCAGCGACAGGTGAAACGGAAACGTATAGTTCAGTACTACGGAGATCAGAACGGCTTGCGCGATGCCTGCTTCGCTTTGGAGCTCGACCCGGTGATGTAATAGCGGTGAATGGCTGGAATCATCTTGACATACACATACCTTACTACGCGGCACTCATGATCGGTATGCCGGTAACTGGTGTGGATTTTGATGGACTGACACCTACAATTACCACAAAATATGGTAAGTTTCTTAAACAATACATTATTTTAAATCTTCCTTTCCGTTTTATCCAGCTAAATTGGTTAAATTTCGAGTAGGAATACATACATTCATGTATATTCATTTTGTAGCTGAAATAAAAGCTCACTTCAGAGTGTGTTCGCCGCGAGTAGCTTTTTGTCAAAAAGAATACATTGAAGACTACCTGCAAGCTATCAAAGAACTGGAACTAGACACGAAGCTGATATGTTTTGATGAAGGCGATTATTCTTTTAGCACCTTTATGAAAGAATATGACGTAATAGATGAAGAAGAGTTTGAGTAAGTGATTGTTTTCTACTTTAGTTTCTTATAGGCATGTTTTTGATTAAATTCTGTAGTGTTAGTAGGGTATGAAGTGACGTGAAGTCGGCCATGTTGGACTATGCAAAGATTTCATTCTCATATTATAACATTTTTTAGAGATTTCTCATATCTTGAAAGTTGTTCTTGCTCTGTTCAAATGTTATCCTTAGGTATCCTGTTGCTGCAAATGCGAATGAGAATTTGTTTGTTTGTTACGATTTGAAACCTGAACTACTACACCGATTATCATGAAACTTTGTATATATCATCATTGTTGTTACTTATACAGAGGGTAAACTAATGCGTCGACACTAGACATGGAAATTATTGTTACTTTTAAATCATTTTCATTTGATGAAATGATTAGTTTTACTCACAGCGATTTCACGATTGTGATTTCGTCAAGATAAAGATAAATGGCATTAAAATCAATCAAAATTCTTTTTATCGAAGATTACGATCTTTTTTTTTAAGATTTAGATCTTCCGCGAGTTTTGTAATAATAATAATTATGTCGCATTCGTTTTGTAAATCAGTTGCATGTGTAATGATATGATTTATAAATCATATGATATATTACATAATGTGATTGTGATTTTATTCCATCCCTATTCAGCACATATACCTTTGGCAGCTCGACCGGAGTCATGTCATACCTCGGGGGTAACTCATAGAGTGGCATAGCTCTTGTGACTCTTGAGCTGAAGGTGTACATGGACGAAATTAGGCACTAACCATCAAGTGACATGTTTACTCGTTTGCCCCTTTTCCATACCCTAACTTTCACATAGCCTAACTTTCACCTAGAAAGGGGGAATAGAAAAATAAGACTAACGAAATGATGTCAAGAAAACATACTAGTTGGACAGTATTTCTCACATTTTATTAAATTCCTAACAGGCCATTGCAGTTTAATCAAGACAAGATCTACGTTGGAATGATAGCAACCGGTGGCACCTCGGGAATACTGAAGTTGGCTGCCTTCAAACACAGGACGTTTATTGCCAAAATATTTGAATTACAGAAATGTTCCTTATACAGAATAGGAACAGCAAATAAGTAAGTAACAAATATTTTTTACACACTGTCAGGCAATTAAAGATTCGTGCTCGCAGTTAGCTCAAAATGTAATTTAAGTTAGCAACAACTGAGAAAAACAAACCTGTTTGCGTGAAAATTGTTTAAAGTTTGCAAACCTAATTGTATAATAAATAAATTATTTGCCAATGATTAATAGTGAAATCTGCTTTTTAGTATTTCTAATTCCAAATTACATTTAAACAATATTTTTTATATATTTTTTTTGTAAGTTTACAGAGACAAACAAAAACACTCAAAAAACCTAAATAATCCTTATTCTGGCGTATTCGGGTAAATATATAGAATCAAACGCTTTTTCTGTGAATTATGTAAACAGACTATAGTTTAACAGTGATTCTGTCAAAACATTTTTCTAATGAACTCTGTTCATTATAAATAATATCGAAAAGTTAAGAAAAGCAGCAAAAACAGAGTAAAAGCAGTCTCTTACTGCATACCTTAGATGAAAATGCGAGTAAAAATTTAATCACGTTTTCGTTTAATCTGTCATTTACTATTCCATTTACTGTTTTTAATACTTTCTTTTTTTAGATTCACGGAGAATAGACCTTGGTTGTTACTATCACAAATGGGATGGATATCATCATTCCTGCGAGCAATGGCTTTACCCGTTATGTATTACTCTAAGCTCATGACCTCAGTTGTGCCCACCACGGAACATGTTATCGATATCATTAACAAGTATAAGGTAAATAATTAATGTTTACATTAACATCATCGTTAAGTTCGTTTGTGTTCAAAGACTTAAAAAGTTCTGCACCGATTGAGCTCAAATTTTGATAGTGGCTGTGTAAAGTTTAAATTAAACATCCAACAAAGACTGTTACGTGATTTTATCGTATTGTTACCAAAAAATAAATCGGTAATCTGCTAGTCTTACAAATACAATACACGATACTACCTTTTTTGACAGACAATCGAGAATTGATCGGAATTGAATTTTGACCGATCTTTTATTGCAAGATTGGCCTTCAGAATGTAATATGTTTTGCTCCACTTTTAGGGTACCTACATCTATTTTTTTTCAATTATATATTTTTTATTATAAATTTATTATTTTTGACCATAGCCGGGTATGGTTGAATGGCTTTAGTTCATAGAATTTTCTACGGAAAGTGATGCTTTAAACGTGTTAGTCTGCGATCGTAAATTAACCGTAAGAAGGCAAAGAGATGTCTAACTTTTTTAACAGGTAGCGTAGGGAAGACTGTGTTTAGGATATCTAAACAGATTTCAATATAAATAAAAAAACTGATGAACACTAATGTTTATTTCCAGCCAGTAACTACCCATTTACGAGTTGGTTTAGCGACAAGTATAATAAACAGCAAAAAGAAATGCGACTGGACGTGTTTTAACAGTATTGTAATGTCTGGTGATAGGGTGCCAAAGACTATATTTTTGGAATTGCTGGTACGTTCTCTCTGTACATAATACTTGTTATATTCGTAATTCTCGCCATTCTTCTTTTCGCTGGATCCCCTTTAACGTGGGATTCTTTTTTAAATATGGGCCGTCTTGACTGGAGTGATACCACAGTTTTACACCAGTGTTAAGCACTTCATATTCTAATTCTGGTGGGCGGGTCCATCTACACCTTCAAGCTTACCTATTAGTTACCTTCACCTATTTGGTCAACGTCCATCAGGGTCATGACTTGTTTTAAAACTTGAAGAATCTGTTTCATTAGGTATCTACTCGTATTCTAACCAACATTAAGCTAAACTTTAACACGAAATACTAACTATTTTATATTGTTTTTAGTTTGGGATCAGACGGCTGTGTGTGAGATATATTATTATTATTTTATTATTGTATTTCCGTAACTTACAGAAAAGAATGAGTCCATGTGCTATACTGTGTGAAGGTTACGGCCAAACTGAGAACCTGGGCCCGATGTTGTTACTAAATCCTTTGGGACCTATTGGTAACTGTGGTAATCGACCATACGGATGGCAAAGTGTCAAAGTGAGTGACCAAAAACATATTAGTTTTGTACTTAAATTTTGGAGAGCTTAAAAACTTGCTATTTGTGTTCTTTATATAAAACTATTTCTTTTTTTGATGACTAGACTGCTTAGGTACTGCTCTTAGTAACAATCTGAAATATACCAAAGTCATTTGTGACACTTTGTATTTTAACACCCAAAAAAATAACAAAGCACATTCGAATTTGTCAACATCGGCACAGTTTGCCATATAAAAAAAAAAAGAAAAAAATAACAAAACATTATGTCAGTCAATTTCGCAATTAAACCATAGCCCCGGTTTTGTTGCTTATGATATTTTACATATATGTATTTAATAATATTTTAGTTAATGGATCCACATACGGGTAAAGAAGTGATGGAACCGAACGTACTAGGAGAGATGTGGATGAAAGATATCTGCATGACTGTAAGTGCCCTATTAAATTTTCACGCAATGTAGTATAATATAGTCACGTGACGTTAATATATTGGTATATTTTAACAGGAATACTACAATAATCCAGAAATCACGGCAAAAACATTTACAGCAGACGGCTGGTACAGGACAGGAGACTTGCTATACAGGGATGAAGAAGGGAACTACTTCTTTGTTGAACGACTCAAGAAGATCATTAAGTACCGCAATTACTATGTATGTGATGTGATAACGCGTATTGGAAATTAGTATTTTTATAGTTTTTCTTCACCTATGTGTTAGGCCTTGAACTTTCACCAGGGCATCATATTCTAAAATATCTTTGTAAGTTTGGAAGAACCATTCGTGGTTAACTAAAGTCGTATTACCATAGGTTACTACTGAGTACCCATTAGGAATCTACATTTTATTCTGTTATCAAAACTCACATGTAAGAGCAAATGACATTTCTAGAAATTGCATTTCATTAGATTTATTTTCTAATTTCCTAAACAGGTTTTTCCCCGAGAGGTAGAAAACGTGATCCAAGAACATCCTGGTGTTCGAGACGTATGCGTCACGTACATTCCTCATGAAGAGGATGGAGAACATCCAGTGGCTGCTGTAGTCAGAAAAAACGGTGTCAAAGTTACTGCACAGGAAATTAAGGATATTGTTGCTGGTATGAATATCAATATTTAAGTATTTACAAGTAGCCTTGGTATCTATTAATGTTTACGTAGTTACCACCCAAAACTAATCTAGTCTAATTGGTTATCATGATATCTGTTAGGTCCAAATTATTTAAAACTACCTGGTACCCGCGACTTCATTCGCGTAGATTGCGACCGCATCATCATGAGGCCTCGGGTTCGATTCGAGGACTGGGATTTTTTTATAGGATTTTCTTGAGAGGAAAAATAGCCTAAGTTACTCCTTATATAGACAGCTACCTACCTGGTAAGAAAATATTATCAAATTCGGTAAAGTCGTTTAGAAGATTACCTGAAAGACAGACAGATAAACAATATTTAAACGGGTTTTCAGACATAGGTATCGTGCAAATAACAAAAGTCAAAGTCACAAATGAGTTGCCACCCTTTAAATCCCCGCCTCAAATAAAATAAAAATAATATTAGGTCCTTACATATGAAATTGGCGTTTTGTACGGGTGGAATATAGTCATTTTTTTTTTGTGAAATAAATTTAATTAATCAAAGTATGAACCGTTGTTATCTATGCACTTTTGCCATCTCATAGGTAGTTCATTGATCCCTTTACTAAAAAAAACCATGGGGACGAAAATCAATAAACTCTTTGAAGGCGGACTGCCGCATCGAAGTTGATTTTTTTTCCTCGTAAGTAGTTATCCAAATTCAGGAAAAAATGGTAATCTGTTGGAGCAAGGTCCGGGGAGTACGGTGGATGTCGCAGACATTCCAATTGTAGCTCATCTAACTTAGTGGTTGTTATTGTGTAGTATGTGGTCTTGCGTTGTCGTGAAGTAGCAGTGGCCTAGAGCCATTGACCAATCTCGGTCGCTTATTAGCTAGTTCTTCCTTCATGGTTTGCAGTTGTTGACAATAGATATCTGCCGTAATCGTTTGGCCAGATTTTAGAAAGCTGTAGTGAACAACACCGGCGCTAGTCCACGAAACACTCACAAGTAACTTTTTCTGAGTCTTTTTTGATTTTCGTTTAGGGCAGGATTTGGGTGGGTCTCCAGAGTTCAGCCATTGCGACGAGCGCTTCCGATTATCGTACAGTATCCACTTTTCATCACAAGTAACGATTCGATTTAAAATCCCTTCATTATTGTGTCGGTTGAGCAAAGTAACACAGCAGTCGACGCGTGTTTGCAAGTTCGATTCACTCAATTCATGAGGTACCCACCGTTCAAGTTTTTTTACTTTCCCGATTTGCTTCAAGTGGATTAATACAGTTTTATCACTTACCCCGAAGCCTGCAGCTATCTCTGAAGTGCTTTATGATGGATTCGCTTCCATGATAGCCTTTAATTCTTCATTTTCCACTTTGGTCTCCGGCCGTCCACGGGGTTTGTTCTGAAGGTCGAAATTTCCAGAACGAAAACGTTGAAACCAAAAACGTACCGTGCTTTCTTTTTTAAATCCAATTCATTTTTAAATGTCATAATTACTTTTTTTGATATTGTTCTATAACTGGCAAGTTCCGGATACATAAATAGCAGCTACTCGTATATATGGTACAGTATGGATAAAAACCAGTTACAAATGATTAACAACTTTTCTCTTTTCTTACGTTTTTCACGATACAAGATATATTAGTCCTTTACAAACTTACAGATTTCCGTACATTAAATACACCTTTGTTTTTACAGATAATTTATCAGACCATCAAAAGCTAAGAGGCGGCGTTGTATTCCTGACAGAAATTCCGTTTACATTGGCGGACAAAGTTGCCCGGCGCAAGTTGCAGCAAATAGTAATGGAGTCTCACAGAGAATAAAGATTTACATAATATAAACTGTTAAGAGCTTCGTTTTCAAGAAGTGCAGTAGTATAGTAATGCAGCAGTAAACCATGTGGTTCTAATTAATAACATTGTTAAGTTTTAATATTATTGTGTTGTATCGCCTTTTATGATCCTTACTCAAAATATACAGTAGGTACCTGGTGCCTGTGGAACGCTTAATGAATCTCCCGTTAGAAATTATTAAAGTATCATAAATAGTTAATAAACTTCGTAACTGCTGTAAAATAATTAAATACGGCTAGATGGTTTTCTTTTTACACTTTTATAATATGTTATTCAAAAAAAAATAGAAAATTCACTTAGATATATTCAAAGAATATAATAAGGATTATATATTGTGCGAAAAATAATACACAAAAATATTTTTTATGACTGCGTTTAATTGAAATATTCAAGATGACCCATGCCTCCTAGAACTATAATAAGTACTTCAAGTACAAACCTTGGTACACACTAAGATGTTAAATCATTCAAATTGAAACCATTGACATAGTGTGTCTCTAGACTATGAAGGGTAGAGGCACGGAATGTTATCTACCAGTCAGTGTGTATCTTCATACAAACGGTCGGAACGTGAATCATACTTAAGCGCCTAGAGTTCGATATACACTCGAATCTCGAATAATCTCGGCACGAACTGTATGCTGGTTTTGTAAGCAGTAAGAGAGCGTTTTTTATATTTGATTGACATAATTACAAGTACTTACATAACTTACTTATGTACTTAGCTACTTACTTACATATATTATTGAGTTAGACGAAATATAGTTTTGAAATGATTATGAGAGTAATAAATGGTAGGTTACTTTAAGGTAGGTTAAATACTTTTGAAGTAAGATTTAGTTGTAGATAGTTAGAGGTTTTGATTGCTGTAGGTTGTGTCACACGCGATGAGATGGTAACGTTTTGCAGCGGTTTCTAGATCGGATGGGTGACCATAAAATTGTTTTTGGATTTGCACCGTACGAAGATAATGGGGACGTTAATAAGCTAAGATGAAAAAAAAAAAATCACTCGTCAGCTATTTCTTGCATTTTGGTTGAGTAGGTAGGTATTGAAGTTTGTAAGGATGATTTTTGATGGTTATTTTTATTTACATATTTATTCACAACGATTTTCATTTTTTTAAATAAAAAATATAATATTTACAATCACTAATCTAGAAGGGAACTCAAGTACCTAGATGAAATTAAAATGCTGTAAGCGGGCAGCCCTATCGCGTATTTATGTACCACTGTAGGCTGTAGGTAATTAAATAACATTACCGTGGTAGAGGTTAGGTTTATTAGGTTCATAGGCGGCGATGGTCATTTTCCATCAGGTGACCCGTCTGCTTGTCCGCCCCCTCTAACCTAAAAAAAGAGGTATTCTAGAGTATTAAGTAGGTGTCTGTACTTTTTTTTGGTAATTGGGAAATCAAAAGTAGATTGCAGTACCATGGAAATTTGATTGAACAATCTTGACAGTGTTTTTTTTGTAAGTAGGTAATAATCAATTACCAGCAGTTATGTACGTACATATAATAATTATTGGCTGAGTCTGCGATATTACACATGTTTTAATTATATGTAGGTATGTGCTCATTTTATACTCAATTTTAGACTATTCTATATGTACTCGGATTTTCAAAAAATTACAAATGCAGCACGATGTCTTATGGCCTTTTCAAGAAAGAGACAAAAACCAAGAAGACTAAGGAAAAAGACTAAATTCTTTTCAACTGGGATTAAATATTATAGTTACTGAGATTAGCATCTTGAATCTATAACATTAACATTGTTGCACACTCAATATGCACACAAACCTCAGTGCAAGGCAAAGCCAACCGTCCTATAAGCCATTGCATAAGAGTAGAAGTGCCAGTCGTTGGCCATGTAACATTTTGCAACGCACAGCACCTGCAGTTGCCCTATCAGCCCATAGAACCTAGAACTTAGATAAGTAGCTCTGTATATGACCTTTAGTGTATTAAAAAATATCATAGACCCCATGTCGCAGTTGATATCCTCATCAATGCATAGAAATTCTTATAGACTTTTCATGAACTGTCCTAAAATGTTCGATTAAAGGAAGTTTCTTTCCAAAACTAATCCTAAATAACAAACTGATGTTTTATTTTTGTCAGTAACATTGTGAAATTTAATGCACAGAGGTGATTCGGCTGTTATTGCCTGACCAGACCTGAGAAATGTATAGTGAATACACCATGAACAGACCACCAAACAGTTATCATTACTTTTTATTGGTAAGCTTTGCGTTAGGGCACTGTTGCGACGTTCGACCTGGGGTCGGCCATTGCATTTTTCGCTTACGGTTATCGGAAGGAATCCACATTTCGTCACATGTGACAATTCGATCCAATATGCCTTCATTTCTGTACCGATTCAACAAGACAACACAAGTTTCAACACGCATTTCTTTCTGCAGATCAGTAAAATCATGAGGCGCCTATTTTTCATATTTTTTTATCTTTTTGATTTGATGCAAATGTGTCAATATTGTAGGTAGGGTAATGTTAAACCATGTCTCTAATTCCTGGGTGGCTTGAATCGGATCGGCTTTCACCATCTCCGTCCTTATTCACCTGTGTCGGCGGTCTTCCACGTGGCTCTCCAGTCGAAGTTTCTATTACGAAATCGTTTAAACCAAAAACGCACAGTGCGTTCATTAGCAGTCTTCTCTCCAAATGCAGCGTTGATATTGCGAGCGCTTTCTGCCGAGTTAGTTCCGCATCAGAACTCGTATTAAAAAATGACTCATATTTTCGAAGTATCCATCTTTCAAAGTCTAATCTGAATAAAAATAAACAATTGAAAATCAAATGTTGCACATTTTTTAAAAGAAGAACCTCATAGTATCATATGAAAAAAGTTGCACAAGAAAATATCACACCATGAAGATTTTATGACAATTAAAGTATCTAACGGCAATATCATTTTTTAATCCCTATTATTTGCTTCAATGTTTCTCGCCAGCAGGAAAAACTTGTACTTTGCCTTAAATCTGTCAGGCTTCTAAGCATAAGCATTTCCTTTTTTACATTAGCTCCAGTCGAAATAGATGTACCTTTGAGCCTGCTCTCGTCTCACACAATCATGACTGCCTTCACAAGAACAATAACAAAGTCAAACCTGACAAATGTAATTGCAAACCAATAGATGTGGTGGATGAGCAAACATATCTGAGACTCGTTATAGATAGTAGACTGTCCTGGAAAAGTCATATAGACCGGGTGTGTGACAGATTGATTGGTATACTGGCTAAGTTTACTTTGATAAAAAAGAAAATACCTTACCAAATCCGGCTTCAACTGTACATTGCCCTGGCCGAATCAGTGATTGGTTATGGTCTATCGAGCTATGGAAGAACATACAAATCGCATTTCGATTTCATCTATGCACTACAATTGAGGCTGCTAAAGGCAGTGGTCTCTTATAGCATTAAAAAAATATATGAGAAAAAATACATAAGTGCTGGTAGTTACCATGCACACTTTGATTTTTGCAAAATATTACCGAATTTGGAAAAAAATAAATTTACACACAATTTTTCAAAGAAGAAATAAAAAAAAGACAGGACAGTGATAACATAATCCAAACACGTCAGCTACTTAAGTCTAAGCTATTATTGACAAATACACGAACCACTATGGCAAACGGAAACTGTCATATATTATTCCAGACCTGATCAACAATCTCCCATTATCTCTTAGGAATGAGTTGACTCCAATAAATATTCAATAACAATACTTCCGGACAAATATAACTAAACATTAGTAATCAATTATTTCGGTCTACTCTAACAACAAAAAATTTAAAACTTTTAACATAGTTATTCTCTGACAAACACCCAAATATCGTGCAGGCTAGCGTATAGATATATGTATATTTATAAATACATATATTTGTATGTTGGTTTGTACGACATTCTACTTATTCCACTTCCATGTCGATGATAACGATGCTCAGAAAAACTCGAATGAGTTTATGTGGTATCATAAAGCTTGCAAGCTTGCATACCGATTTTGTTACTAATATTACAAATAAAAAACATTGGATACCATAGAATGGTTAGGGCGGTATGTGGTTCCAAAGAAATTGTCATTGCTACCTTGGCTACCTTTGGTATTAATTCCCTTTAATATAAACAAACTTACACCTACAAAAATATATGCCAATATTACATTAAAAATTTATATTATATAAATAAAAGAACTGACATATAAGTTCATAAAATACTACTTCTGAGTTATTGAGAATTATATTGTCTCTTTCTTTTCCATGTCTTTTAATTAGCCCAAGATCTGTAATTTTTTCTTTAAAATATACCTATCCGTGGCTGGCGGGAATACATCGATATCTCGACATACATGTTATTTTTTATTCGTTAAGACGCTTCCTACGTCTATGTTATTATAGGAAAAAAAAATTACAATCCGATTTATTCCAAATTTTTTGAGATTTTCCCTTCGGTAATAATAGAATATACCTGTCTTGAGAGTCCACTATTAAACAAAACTAGTAACGTTTTATCGCTGACCAACATACACATTGTTAATAAAACGAAAGTTAATAGCTCTACTTGTACATTTGTCATTTTATTGTTTTAATAATTTATAATTGATATAACATTCTATCAAGTTGTGTTCGCTAACCAAAACATAAATTATTAGTATACGAAACTTGATAGCTCAATTTGTACATTTAATAGTTTATTGTTTTAATAATTTATGTGTTGATATTATTAGATATTATATTGTGTACACACAACTTATCAATCTTGAAACATGTTAATCAATTATGATCTTTGTTTGTGTCAATATACTTGAACCAACTTTATTAACATTGGTAAACAACATTTCTAGATAATACATATAATTATATTATTATACTTACTTTATTCTAAATAATAATAAAACAACTGTGCTTGGAAGATGTGATGGCGCAAGGGTGTCGACGCAAGTTGCGTCCCACACCAAAGGCTTCCATTTTTCAAGGCAGCAACGACATACCGTCCGGTCTCATTACATCGTACGACACGTACAGCTAGAACGCCGGCGGTATCAAGAGCACGACTGTAGTTAATATTGGCGTATCGGGATATACGTCCAGCGCTTCTGCTACAAGAAAGGCCATGATGTCCAAGACTGTCAACAGCTTCTCCGAAGTGACAAAGATGCGGTGAAACACAAGGCGCGCCTAACCGAAGAATATGTTGGGTGATGGAAGTGCCTGAATCCATAAGCCTAATTCTCATTCTCCCACTGCCAACAAACAAGCGCACTCAGCAAGATTTATTGCTATGTTGATCAGTGTTTTCGCGGAAGTACATTAGGTGGCCTGACTAGAGGGTTATGGTGTCCTACCCCTCTATTCGGACTTCACATAGCCCTAGGATATGCCACCTAATCTTCCCAAGTTCAACCTCAAGTTGCGCCAGATGCGAGTCTAGCCGTAGCGTGCGTCCGTTGTACGTAGCCAGGGTCAGTCGGTTGTAGTGGCCTCCCGTAGCCCGGAGATTCTTCGCACCCCCTGCCCCGCCTTTACCGTGGTCGCCACCATGACCAGGAACAGCGGGGCCGTGGCCTTTGTTGCGTCTGCATGGGGAGGGTTTGCCCATAATCGCCACGCTGGGCAGGCTGGTTGGCGATCGCAGGGCGTAGCTTGTCGCACCGGTAACGCTGCTGCCCGTCACCGGCCTGTTGTATTTAGCTAAGCCTATTGGGATGGATATACCACCATCGGTCGGTCGCCAGAGCCTCGTTCGTCGTTCAAAAGGATGCACCGCGGGCAGGTGAGGTTGGCTTGGGGCGAAAGAGGGTGGTTCACCCCTCACACCCCCGCAGTCACATATAACGCATCTAATCGCGTTAATATTTGAAGTCAATATAAAGGATTAAAATCACTAACCTACAAATGTCGCTGTGGTGTCTAAACACCCTGTTGTCTGCTTGAACAAGTCATGTTTCTGACTTTCTCTTCTTGTTTGTGTTTACTAGACATTAGGGATGGTATAAAATCACAATCACAGGTGATAAACCATATGATTTCTAAATCATATCATCACACATGTGACTGATTTACAAAACCACTGCTACTTAATTATTATTATGACGCTAGCGCAAGACTCGCGAAAGGTCGTAAATCTAAAAAAAAACTAGTGTGCTTCAGACCACACGACAGAAGTAAAACTTCATTAGCTCCATACGTACCTGGCTATGAGAGAGAGAGAGAGAGAGAAAGAAAATGTGTGCTTGCATCTCTCTCTCTCTCTCTCTCTCTCTCTCTCTGAGTCTCTCTTCACTTCGCTACTCCCGTAGCGTAAGTCAAGCGTGCGTAAGGAAGTTTTACGTCAAAAAATCACAATCACAGAAAGCGCTGTGACTAAAACCAATCATTTCATCAAATCATGTCGACGGAGGCGGCGTGCACGTTGGCCGGAACACCCCCGTTGGATTTGGAGTGCTTGCCGAAGTATATCGGCGGACGGCTGAGTTCTGGGCGAGTAGCGGCATTCGGCCCCCGCCCGAAGAGATATGCAAGTGGCGTGAGGCCGTTCGTCGAGCCACGATGGCACGTTGGTCGTCCCGACTGGAGGCTCCACGTGCTGGCTTTGCCGCCGTGAAGGCGCTTCAGCCGGTTTTCATCGAGAGGGTAGGGCGGCAGCACGGGAGCTTATCCTTTCGGCTGACGCAGGGCCTTTCCGGGCACGGCTGCTTTGGAAAGTGCTGCTGCATTCGGTCGCTGGGAGGGAATTGAGTCCCGCCTGTCACCACTGCGATTGCAGTGAGGACCGGCTTAGCACATGCTGGCAATTTGCCAGACTTGGGCGCCGTAGCCCCGGATCCTCATTGCGGTCATCGGAGGGGATCTCTTGCTACCGGACTTCATACGATTAATGGCCGGTAGTGACAGATGTTTCAACGCGGTCGCATCCTTCTGCGAAGACGTCATCTCGCAGAAGGAGACGGCGGTAAGGGTCCGATGGGATGACCTCCACTCGGACCCAATTCGTCTCCGGCGAACCGGGCGGTAGAGGCGCGCTTACCACCGAGTGTGGCTGCGGGTGGACAGGATGTTCCCCACCTACCATAACGGCCAGCCGCGAGAAGGCGACGTCCGCGTGTGCCGGACGTCGCCTATATGGAGAATGTACCCAATTGTGGGCAGGTGCTAGAAGGGTCCGGATGTCTTAATAATAGCGGTTCCCGGATCTCACCTGTTATGGTTCCGAGTGGCACACCGTGTGGTACTAACTCTCACTATGAACAGTCTGCTCATCATATCCTTTGTTATAATGAACGTAATATAATGCTGAATAGCTTTCAAGTGACATCTGGGGCAGTGAATTTCCGTGCGTTTAGGCGATTCTGCCATACATATTATAGAAATCAAATATAGCTCACCTAGGACCCGTAATATTTTGTGACCGTGGTGCTTCCCTGTTTAAAAGGGTGTATGCCTATTTTACTTCATTTTATGGAGACAAAGCAAAGCGGGAGCGCTTTGCTAAGGAGGGAAGTGGATTTATTGTATTTCCAACTCCTCCAATTTTCTCCTGATTAATTTCGTTGCGGGTTCCAAGACAGTTTAATTTCTTCCTGGGACTTCCCGAGTGTCATTACTCGGTGTGTTCGTGGGTCACTTCTGTGGATCCTGGTGTACAGGAGTTACAGTGGTGGGCGTGTGGGTGGGATTAGTGCCTAAAAAAAACACCACCCCGCCGCAAACCCCGATGGGGTGTTGGCCCGGGGGGGTTTCTACACGTAAAAAAAAAGGTTAGACGCCATTTAACAGTAAATCTAGTGTTTTTTTATTATTATAAATAAATAATTACTAGATTTACTGTTAAATAGGCGAAATAGGGTCTTTATGCATCGTCTGAAAACAGCTTATTGGCAAGTGTGTGTGTTTACTTATCTATTAAAGAACACCTCCCCCACGTTACCGCTAACGTTTTGTTTATGATTCATTCAGAAATCTCTAAAAAAATATCACGATAAATATCACGATAGCCCAATCAAATCAGGATGAAGTTGACAGCCTTGACAGCGTCGACGTCAATGTGAAAAGTCAGTGATATTTACAACAGTGTTGCAAATTAATAAATGGTTGGGTTCAGCTTTCAAATGGCCAGTCTCTAAGCGACATAAAAGTAATTTTTACATACTTGATAAAAGGATGATAGACAAAATTAATTTTAATACATCGCTTTTTATTACGTTTTATAATTTTAGCAGTTCTATTCATGTGTGAAAACTTGTAATTGAAATTTTAGCAGTTCTATTCATGTGTGAAAACTTGTAATTGAAATTTTGCTTCTATGTTTATCTTCATCTAATACCTTTAAACGAGCATTTCTGTATATATGTATTTATGTTTTTATTATATAATCACATAAATAACAATATATATAATATATAATTATAAAAAATTTAGTATGCAAGGGGTTTCGGGGACGGTTAATCGATCTAGCTAGGTTTCATTTTTTTTTTTAAATTACCAAATAAAAATAACGAGTTAAGGTCGGTCATCCAGGTACTAAGAATTATGAGCTGTTGGTTTTAATGAAAGAATAATAAAATAATACTTACATAAAAAAAACTGTGTCTAGCAAGATCGCTTAATTCAAATTCTCTGGTGTTGCACACCACGAAATTTGATTTCCTTCCTTGCCATAAAATTCTATTGGACTTACAATTTTAAATTAAATGTGATAAAACAAAGATTATTAAGTTAGATAAATAACTAAAAACCAATTAATAAGTTTATAAAGAATAAAATTAAGACGACTGAAAGCTACATAGTGAGCGAACAAAATGCATGCCGTGAGGTATTGAGTAAATAAAACGAATGACAAAAGAGTTGACACAAAGTAGTAGTATCCAGATCATGAAATAAAAAAAAGTCAAGTATTGATCGATTTTGCGAACAAAATTTTCAGAAGTACCCCTACCTACCTTTCTGCACTTGCGCATTGCAATTATTCGATACTGCATTCTTAAAATTTCTCTCTACCGATGAAGAAACGTATCAAATCTGAATAGATATATTGAGATTAATGTGTAGAGTAGGCTACCTAAATGCAGAACGCCAACGCAGGTAAGAGTAAAACTACATTCATTTGTTTTTACTAGTTCTAATTTTCATGCTTAAATGTTTTCTTAAAACAGATTATTACTTTTTTATTAGTTCTTAACGTAATAGTAAGGTTTCTTTTCGTTTATAGCGTATTAAATAAAAAAATCATATATTTCCATTGGATTTTAGGCAGTGCCCCAATCTATGCAGATGTACCTCTGTTTTGCTTTCCCATACCATAATACCTGCTCTTTTAGAGAATATCCACTTAATAATCCTATCTCATATTTGGAAGTCATCAACAGCCTTTAAAAGTCCAATACTAGACACAAGCCTCTCCTTAGAAAGGAAGTTTTGGCCTACTATACCACGCTGGCCAGACTGGTTGGTATAGGAATTGTGTCAAGTTTTCCTTCTCTCTGCAGTGCTGTTGTTCTGCATAGTTTTTTCCCTTAGTCGGCTTTTACGACACCGATGGGATGAATAGGGGTGGTGACACTGTATTCTTAATCCGTCGCCACACTGACTATTTCTTTCTTTTTCCTCTCAGTGGCTTCTATAAAGATTTTATTTTTTACACCACATACATTTACCTTCTTTAGCAATTGTTTTCCTTTGCCAACTTTTGTTTTGTACTTTTGGACTAAAATAAGTCAATTTGGTAAAATTGAGTTAAAGTTTAAGTGATTTGATCTCTGAACACATTGACCGTCATTTAACAGACACAATAAAAATTAATTGTTTCCGGTCATAGCATGGCAGTCACTGTTATTGCTATAACTTATTTAAATGAATTGATTTATAAAGATTAATTCACATCTTCTTGTCACAAAAAGCATCGAGCAGTTACTTAGCTTGTTCTGTATTATAGCTTCTCTTGTTCTATATAAATTACCAATTCCAAATCCAAACCTTCACCAGTGATCCCTTGTTCTTGATGTTTGCCCAATTAACCTTTTTCCTTTGACCTGTCTAAAAATATTAAATACCCATATGAAGTTAGTGTTGGGCAGGCAGCCTACCAAAAAAGAAACTACTAGTTTTGCAATATTACACATTGCACCAACATTAAAAGAAGTATTAAGTTGACTCTTAGCCTCATCTAAATAAATTGCCCATTCCCCATCCAAGACTTGCCATATACCTCACCCTAGCTACCTCGTTCTGGACCTTTTCTCCAAATTATCTTCTTCCTTTGTTCCATCTGGGAAAGATTATACATTGCACCAACCCCAAATAGACTACCACCGCCCAAGGACAGCTGTAACCTGCCACACTCACTCTGTCCAAAAACAACGAAAGGAATTACTTCACATCTGGCCTTTAATAGTCCACTGCTGGACATAAGCCTCTCCTTAGAAAGGGTGTTTTGGTCTACTATATCACGCTGGCTAGACGGGTTGGTATAGAGTTTGTGTCAAGTTTTCCTTCTCTCTGCAGTGCTGTGGATGGCGTAGTTAGCTCCGTAGTAGCTTCTTACGACACCCATGGGATGAATAGGGGTGGCAACACTCCGTATTCTTAATCCGTCACCACACGGACTTAACACCGGTTTTCTGTGAACAGTGGTATCATTCCGGATGTGCTGGCCCATTTGTGATGAAGCATGGCATATAATGATGGTGATATAGCAATGGAAACTGATGGCCAATACACATACTAATTTAATATATACTAATTTATTACAACATCAAAGGTTGCTTTGGAAAATGTAATGGAACAAAACTGATAAAAGACATCTCGGGTGTCAGACTTTTTTTTCTGCAATATAACAATGGTTTCCAAACATTTAAGCTTTCTGAAAATAAATTGAGCATAAAACTTTCAGCCACTCCTTTAAATCATCAGATAATTATTACAAAGTGTGATATCGGGTAACAGGTCTTTTACAGCAAAGCTGGTTCAAACTCCAAATATCTTTATTTCAAAAAAGTTTTAAAATTGTTTGAAATCATCTCTCATGACTGTAGACTCTTAAAGTCAACACGCACAATAGAACCAATTTCTGTTTTGTCAAATATTGAGCAAAATAAATATAAATGTATCGAAAATCTATTATATGCCTGTGCCGATCTACAACCAACTGTTTCCAAGGGGTTGAGCCTTATGAGAAGAAAGAGCAAACAAACTCACGTTGCATAAGTTCTTTAAGAATCTGTCACTCCGGAATAAATTTGCTTAAGCAGTAATAATTCTTAAGCATTTTAGTAACTAGTTCATATTCTGCTGCTTTGTAATTGCCCTAGAAATATTAGAAATGTTTAACTAACAATACAAATTAAACTATGCTTCCTATACTATCTGTGTCAAATAACTTGTAAATTCAGTGACTCAGCCAATTTCACATTAGTTTACACCAAGTACTTTTTATGTACTGATTCATACCTTTCTCGTTCACATTGCAAGAGTAAGTCATTGAGATGATTTGTTGGTTGAATACATGTCATCAGTAGTCCAAATTTAAATCCCTTATAGACACATGACTGATACATGATATTGGGCAGTTGAGCATCTTATACGAGTATTTATTATTCTGAGCTAGTTTTATTTCTAAGTATACAAGGTAGACGATTTCTTTGTTATTTTCTTCTTTGTATTTGTTATCTTTGTGGCAAAATATGTCAACGCATAAATAAATACTATTAGGATTTTTAATTTAAAAAAATATTGTCATGAGGTTTTTTCTACACATTAAAAAAAAGGAGGGCTTAGCTTTACATTGACGTCCATCTAGTTGGAGGTTAATATTTTTTTTACAGAATGGTTACATTATTATAAGCACACATGTAAAAGTTTCAACACGCGGAGACGCGTAGTTTATGAGAAAAAAAATATAGAAAATCAAATATTTTTGCAATATTTATGTCAATCTCTGCCACAGATTATATAGAATTTGCGCCCTGGAACGTTTCGTATTAACTAAGGTTAAGTTGTCATATGTTCCGTGACATTTCGTTGTATATAAATTTACGTAAATAATTATATTTTGTACTCATTTCAATAGTTTTCATGCACACGTATATTTCACAGTTTATATATATTAAATTACACCATATTTTCATGATTTTCATAACGAGCTATTGAAATTAAAATGTGTAGTGTTTACTGTCTTTTACCGGCTTGTGGAACACAACGTAAAACTGACAACAAATAAAATAGGTTAGGTTCAACTTATGTCAAAGAACGGAATTGCATGACCCCGACTCCACGTGGTATGACTCTGTCCTACCCCTAGAGTGTTTTTATAGAACCGGAGGCGCGTAGGGAGAGCAGCCTCCGCCCGCTGTAACAAATCGTAGGATTGTTACAGCGGGATGGATGCCTGCGATTTGTTACGCAAGGGCGAAGAGGCTGCTATTCCCGCAGCACCGGAGACGTTGTAGTCTCAAAAAAAAATACAGGAAGGAGTTTACGTTTCGTTCCACAAGTCGTCAAAAGACTTTAAATACCACACATTTTAATAGCTCGTAATGAAAATAATGTAGTAATTTCATATATATAAACTTTTCAATATGTGTGTATGAAACTATTGAAATGAGTACAAATTGTAATTATTTACGTAAATTTATATTAAATAAAATGTTACCGTACGTGTGACAACTTAACCTTAGTTAAAACAAAACGTTCCATGGCAAAAAATCTATATAATCTGTGGTAGAGATTTACAGTAATTGACATAAATGTTGCGAAAATAATTGATTTTCAATAATTTTTTTCTCAAAAACCACGCGTCTATTCGCGTCATTATAAGCACATGTTACATTATAGTAAGTAAGTTACATTATTATAAGCACATGCTTATAATAATGTAACCTTTGTGTAAAAAAATTGTCAGACTCCAACTCGATGGACGTCAAAGTAAAATCGTACCAAAAGGAGTTCATAAATAAGATAGTTAAAAAAAACTTAATTGAATAATTCCTTCTTTTGCAGTCGATTATGAAGGCAAAATAGAGCATACGAATAATAAAGTAATTTAATTTAGGCGATACTGTTTAATGTATCTACGTAAATAGAAAACAAAAGGAGATGTGCAAACCTCCCATGCAAATTCAGCGGCTAATAGTGAATTGAAGTTTGTTGTAAAGATAAATATTAATTCTATAACAGAAATATTTTTTACCTACTACTTGGAGGTTTTATAGATATAATGTCATCATTGAATTAAGTGTATTCTCTAATGGATGCTAACTACAATTAATTTTAAAATTAGAATAAATGTAATCATCAGCAGTCAGCAGTTTGACAAAAAAAAACAAATAACCTATCAGCAAACGTAAACTCGCAAACGGTGATAACCATTAGACCTGAAAACCGCTGAACTAGAAAAAGTGTTACCATTTTGGAAAACTTATAGTTACCAGATTGTGTCGTGAATTACTTTTTATGAAGTAATCAATAATTATGAGAAAAATAAATAATTACACCTGTTGTACTATAAAAAATAATATCCACAGAAATGAATTTAAAAAATCAAAATCTTTAAATAAACTATTTCAAACAATTTCTGTGTTGAAAATCATTAATATAGTACCGACTAATTACCGTACTATTTAGGGAACTGGCAATAAATACAATTTTAATTTTAACAGTAAAGTAAATGTAATCATCAGCAGTTAGCAGTTTGACAAAAAAAAACAAAAATAACCTATCAGCAAACGTAAACGCGCAAACAGTGATAACCGTTAGACATGATAGCCGGTAAACTAGAAAAGATGTTACCATTTTGGAAAACTCATAATTACTTTGGTTAGGAATATTCAGCTAATAACAGACCACCCAGACTCTGCACTAAGAAGTTACAACATGCACGCTTTGTCTGGACAGGCCTATTGTTCAGTGGGCTGTCACAAGCCCATGCACAAGTTCATGATACTAATGCGTCGTACCTTATTATAATAAAACAAAAGTAACAAAAACGAAGGCATATTGAGTTATATTCGGCTGTTTAAATCGGGATACATGGGGTAAGGAAAATAAAGGACTTTAATAAAGGACTCAGTGGTCACACGTGGAACTTCCGAGTGCCAGGTACTTTTCGAAGCAACGTCGAAAGAACCTGCGTCAGTCGGAAGGAAAGAATCCCGTGCCTCCAGCCGGGACAACTAACGAGCCTTAATGGCTCGGCAAGCGCCCTCACGCCACTCGCGTACCTCTTCGGTCTGGGCCCACAGCCGCCACCCACATGGAAGTCAGCCGTCCGCCGATAAACTTCGGCCAGCACTTCCTCCTTACCCACGGGGTAGTTCCGGCAAACGCGCACGCGCGCGCACGTAATTGCGTATGGCTCTGACCGCCAATACCCTCTGAGAGCGTCAGAGCCTTCGCCAACCTTGGTGCACCTTATAGCGCTATTGACCAGACAATCCCCGTGCACAGCCGTCTTGTTGCGACGTTGGGTCTACCCAAATTGGGCAAAAGTTGCCCTAGGGCAGACCGTTGCCGAACAGCAAGCAAGCTGTTGGAACTGCTCGTCGAAGTGCTATCTTCCACTCACCCGTAAGCGAAGTGCCTAGATGCGCCCAACTACCAGAGAAACTCCTCTGGTAGTTTCACAAGAGAAGTATAAGAACTGTGGTACACCGCACGACACGGTCCGCCGACTTGAAACTATTTCGGAGACCTTTATTTTCCCAAATTATGTATTCCGCATTTACTGCATAAATTATTGTTATAGCTAGGTAACCATAAATTCTTAATCAGGTGAGATTTAGTATGTGGATTCTTGGGATCGCTACCAAATTATACACATAACGAATATTACAAAAGATGTTACAGATACGAGTACATGTCTTATGTTCATTTGAATGACATATAATTATCAAATTATAATAATAATATTCCAATATTGAAAAGTCAATCAAAACAAAGTAAGTAAAACGAAACAAAAAAATTAAGTGCGGTAACAATACAGACAATTCAAGCTAAAACCAAGTAAATACATAACTCGTTTAGATCCGACGTAATAGGTACCTATTTTTTATCTTTAATTAAGAAATAAAAGTATCTCCTTATAACTTAACTTACTAAAATTACATATTATGGATATAAATTTATACATGCATATTTTCTTTTGTTAAAGTATCAGACATTTTTAAATATATTTTTTGTTAATTAACGCGTTTTTTGTTTGTTTAATAGAAAGAGAGGCAACTTTTAGGGGAATATAACTCTAGTTACATTAGCGCTGTGCGTTTTCAATGGCTTTTTTTTGTATCGGAGCTAAGCGAAGGTAGCGAAGAAGAGTTGCTATTTCAATCAATGATTTTGCGGTTCCGTCTTTCTGTACCAGTACTATTATTTATGCTATGTTTATACAACATAGGAGAGGTTCATATTTTTCCGAAGGGTTGCCTAAATGATTATCCAGAGTCAATACAAACAAAGTAAATAAGTTTCGTGTACATCTAAAACAACTGTTTATTAAAACCATTAAACAATATTCTTAAATTTTTTCCAAAGTGTAATAACTTTTACTACTGCTGTTGATTGCGCTTTTATGTTATGACGTTTTATGTTATGTCATGTCTATACGTACGGCTATAAAAATTAAGAAAATAAATATAAGGTAAAAAACATTTTTTATTAACTTTGAAGTAGGACAAAATAAAAAAGTACCTTATTATAATTCAACTTATTAATTATTTATTATTTACAAAAATATCTACGATTCATAAAATAAAAGAAAAAATGAAAAACAGGTGGGACAAAATAAAAAATACCTTATTATAATTGAACTAATTAATTACTTATTATTAACAAAAATATCTAGAAAAAAAAAACTTTCTTTTTGTGAGATGTTGCTGCTTAAATAACTTTGTTGTCAAAACTTACTGAGAATTAGGGAATGCAAATCTCGCGAGATTAGGGCTCAAGCGAGATCCCGCGAGTTTATGAATAACAATACTGCGAGATCTCGCGAGATTGGCAGTTTTGTGTGGTTTTTGGTCGTGTCAAATACTTACAACATTTGAATAAATTAGGAAAAAAATAATAAAAACTATAAGTATCATAATAAGATAATCTATTATTAAAAAAAAAAACATTTTATGCATCAAAAATTGTTTGCCGTATCTGTCTATATTTTTTTAATAAACTTCTATGTAGTAAACTTTGACGTACGTATCTATCAAATAACAAATGAAAGAAACAACCAATCTTCTCTTAAACAAGTCTTTATCTTTTAGTAATAAAATTTTATCTTTTGTAAAATATTACTGAGAGACACCTCGTCCCGCGACCGCTAACTCAGGCCGCCGCCTCCCGCGTACCGAACGAAACCACAGATCGCAACTCAGTCCGTGTCAGTCCGCGCTTTGAATAAGACGTTTCTATGCTCGAGTGCAATCTCGTTAAACTCGCGAGATCTCGCCGTTTTTCGTCCCAGATCAATCTCGCTAAAGAAGGCCGAGATCTCGCGAAAACGAGATTGCATTCCCTAATGAAAATGAGTAAAGTCGTTAAAATAAATACGAGTATCTTTCTACTGATTAGAATCTTTACCTGCTGCTGCTGCTGCTGCTGCTGAGAGGGGTTGCAATAGAGTATAACACTCTAATTAAACACTGCCGATAAAACACAAAAAAAATATTCAGTCAACAAGTGCCATAAAAATGCATTTAAATTTTACATTTGCAAGTAATTTGGCAATAACAAGGCTTGACACAGTGGATTGGAAACGACCATTCTCGCTGCTGTTGGCAAAGTTATGGTTTCTGTGTTCTGGGATAGTGAAGGAATCCATTACATGCCGTAAGGATAGACTGGACCATATTATATAGATTTAATCCTGTAAAGCGTAAAGCGAATAAAGAAAAACGTCGTAGTAAACTGTCCATGGGCGTGTTATTCTCCGGACTTATTAAACGAGCATATCCGTGGAACTAAATTTGAGGATAATGACGCAGTTCTGGCTGACGAGTTTTTCAAGTGTTAAGAAAATGATTGTTTAAAGTAAGAGAAGCAGTTTCTTACTGCATTGCATTAGAGAGATATTATGTGATTTACTGTATGTGAGTTAATGTGTTCATTTCGGTTTAAATTTTCAATCTAATTTTGAATTTTTTGATTCACCTCGTATATTATAAGTTTGTACGGCGCTAGTAACAATAAGCAGGCAGGTGTTTTGTTTTTAAAGTTGTGTTAGGAGTTAGGTTTCATGGGTAGTATTGAAATAATACTATATAATAAAAAACAAATAAAAACAAATATTTCTGTCATCTAACACACAACGCAATCTAGTTTCAAACTAGTAGAGCTTACTATAAAAGCTAGATTGACTGACTGATAGAATACTTGCGTGACAACGTCTTATAATTCGATGGAGCCGGCTGCACGCACGAAAAAACATGACTCATGCGGCGTTACCTCGCTCTGAGGCGTTCCATTTAAGGCGTGAAGTGTAAGCGAGAGCGCGGAACTAATGACAAAGAGGCCCAATCGGCCTCCGCGTTCGGCAGCGTTCGACATCTGTCTCTCTCCTACTTGAGTGAGCGATGCGTCCGCGTGGACAGCTGCTACTCGTATACAATAATACATTTTTGAAAAATGCAACCATTCCATCAGTATTTTCTTATGACGTTGTCACGTTCAACTATCGTCAGTAAACCGACTTTACAGACAAGCGATTTTTCGTGCGTGCAGCCGGCTCCATCGAATTACAAGACGTTGTCACGTCAAAAAATCATCGCCGTCGTCGTGCCTTAAGTCCGTCCTGGCCTGCATGGCTGCGGCCGGCAAGAGCAGAGCGAGCCCATAAATATTACATATTAAGATGTTCTGTATTTTAGTCTTATCATAATAATAGTATAATTATTTACCCTACAATGACACCCCATTAGTAGTATATACATTGCATACACATTAGTAGTATATATACTGCCTCTGGAGCGACCGTTTTACGGCCGCCACGCCCCTATCTGGCCACGCCCACCGGTCGCGCGACACAGTCGCGGGGTTTGTTTAGTCCATATAAATTCATACAAAGCAGTAAGTCGTGCGTCGCGGTCGCTAAAAACCGAATGCTACCTTTAGAATAATTTATCGTGAGCGCATCTACAAGGACACGAACAGCATAACACATACAGCAGATTCGTGGTGGCTAAGGGCCGACTGACTAGATGAACTAATTAAAAACGCATGTCCTTCATCCTGATGACGAAATAATCAACATATATGTATTTCGTTCGTACATTTAAAGCGGCAACGACCAACGTGGTATGTTACCGCTCCGCGTATACAGCTGATCGCCGCCTGAGGTCAATGTTTTATGACTGCATTTACACATGATGTTGCAAATTACGAAAACAAAAAAAAATACCTGTTACTAAACCACTGAATATTTTTCGTTAATATTTTGCAAATCGTCTAGAAATGAGGTGCAGAATATGTGATTTAGAGAAACGTGATAGGAAAAAAACACATTGTTTATTTCCAGGTAAGTTTTTCGTCTACCCACAGTTATCATTATTTATTGTCAGAGGTGAGAAGTTAGGATTTTTTTTATTTTTTTGCGAAAAAGATAACAAATGAAGTTACGTATTAATTGTGAGGTTATATTTTAGCCACTCATTTAAAAGAAAATGTATTTTAAGGCCACTAACTGTTACTATCTCAAATTTCAAATTTTTGCCGTTTCAACTTTACCAAAACTATTTGTGAAGTCACCTCGACTGACCTCGAGTTTATTGGTATTATTGTCAAATAACGAGGTCATTAAAGTTATTCTGAACATTAATTGATACACTTAAAGTAATTTCGTTTCATAGTTAGTCATAATGAAGAAATATAACAAATGTGTATTACTTTTCAGCTAAACCATCCACTTCTCGCAGTGATGACGAAAATATAAACTTTAGACCATCCCCTAATTTTAAACATATGAAGAAATACCTGAAGTCAAAATTTGAAGAAATGAATGGTGAAGTTAATAATGAAGCAGAAAAAGAAAAGAAAATACAGAATGTAAAAGAAGAGGCGATACCGCAAGTAAAAGTATCACCGGCACCACCGCCAGAAACAGCAACTGTACAACCGCCACTGCCCCCTAATTCTCCACCGCCTGATATTCCGGTGATAGAAATTAAGCAAGAAATAATAGATGAAGACTATTCCCAGTATGCCCTTGCCTCAAATAATGCCGCAGATGTGTATGATCATTATGGTGCTGGAGCCGATGTCGGAGACATTAGGGGAGATATAGCCGCTTTAGGTGCCAATGAGCATGAGGCTGCTACTCTAAGAACTACGACAGCAGGAGAGACCATGTGTCGAAACTTTGTACGTGGCACGTGTAAGAAAGGAGCAGCGTGTATATTTGCGCATAAGTTGATCGTCTCACAATTGCCGGGAGTATACACCTTTTGCAGGAATTTCCAAAACAGGCAATGCACCTTTACTAGGTGCAAATTCGTGCATGCCACCGTTTTTGAAAAGGAACTATTCTTCAGAAGTGGGTACCTCCCACCGCATGCACTTGCACATTTGAAAGCTGTGCCACCGCCGCCTCCACCACCGCCCCCACCACCGCCACCACCAGAAGGTAATTGTTTGGAGTACTTCTTGTCGTGTTAACAAAATAATAACAAATATTCTTTTTTTGTTACATTGTGTACAGTAATCCTAGATATATGTAGATTGTAATTATTAATTAAACCTAATGCATTTCATTTCTGATTTTGCAAGCAAAAGTACTATTGCTAGTTAATATTTTATTGAAAATAAATATGTCAAAAACAAAAGTGCTAAAACGCACAGAAGTTACAGACAAATCTCCCCAGGGTCTTCTTGAAACCACACCTTCGTCACGTGAAATATCCTGCCTTTTACTTTAGCGTTACCTTAAATAGATTATACATATTTCTATAAATAAATATTAAAATTATAGTCTAATAACTTAAATTTTATGTCATTTTTCTGTTAAATTTTTGTGTCTACGCAATTTGTTTTTGTAAGGAATTCATGAAAACAAATAGGTACACGATAATGCAGTGTTAAGTTTGTATCAAAGCACAGATGGCAGGGAATTTTGTAGGACACATATATATACTTATCATACACGCATAAAGGCAAACCCATCATAGACACTAATCAATTATGTATAAAATGTGTAAATGAAAAAATATATCATCAACTCTTTTCTAGTTATCCTTCCTGTTTTTCGTACTGTGTAAAATTAATGTAGATGAATAATTTTCAGACCCACCAAGTCAAGAAATCGAACAGGCCTATTATGCGCAGCCTATCTTGGAAACAAAGTAAGCATCTATATAATAATAATATAATACATTCACACAACGCCATCTAGTCCCAAACTAAGCAAAGCTTGTACTATGGGTACTAGACAACTGATATAAATACATATGTATATACTTTTTTTTTTGTAAATACATACATATTATACATAGAAACATCCAGACCAAATCAAATATTAAAAGTTCATACACACAAATGTTTGACTTGAGCGGGATCGAATCTGCGACCTTTAGAATAGCAGTCCGTTACACAAACCACTACGCCATCCGGTCCTCTTCATATTCTATCTGTCATATTATACTTTATTCTTCCAGAATAAAACCTACTTAAGGTCCAGCTGTGAGTCTGAAGCGCATATTATCCTTCGATATAATATTGTTAATCATAATCAAACATTTGTTTGAAAATTACCATACCCACGATTAATTTAATGAAAAGTTAGTTTCAGACTGCCTAATCTGGCCTAAACTGAACTTATAACTTTACTCAGAAAACAATGTTGGCATATAGTGAGTGACCTTTTTTTCTGCCAAACTTGTATTTAATTATACCATCGTACCCTCCAGGGCAAATATTGGAGGAGTAATATGTGGAAATTCGGACTACAATGATTGAAGAAGACAGAACTGATAGAAGAATTTTGTAGAATCAGTACAATTTAAGTGAATTCTTCTCTCATCTCATCTTATGTTTTTCACAGTGTCACAGCTATGCCAAGCATTGGTATAGAGTGTACGGCAGTCCCCACCTACATGATGCAGGCACCACATGCGGTTGGTGATCCAAATATCTATGCACCGTCGACTTCGAGTGGAATTTCTAATAACCCCAGTTTAAAAAGAAATTGGAGTGAGGTGTTATCTGAAGACGAATGTAAGTAGAAATTTATATGCATACAGCAGATTGATAAATTTAAAAACTATCTTGATACTTTACATCTTTTTCACAAAATTTAAATTTATGTTTCACATTTTTCATACTTACTTTTTTACTAGCCGGTATAACTTGATATGTAACTTAAAGCAACTTTGATTATGCTTATAAAATTGTAAAACCAGGCGAACAGACATTTTTTTCTGTATATTTAAATAGAATGTAAAGTATCAAGACTAGTATATAAATGTTTTCTAAGATAGACTTCAGTGGGTGGCTACAATAGTGACATAATGCGTATCAGACGTATTTGACCGATGTTATAATACTTCTGACTAGAATAATGTATGAAACATACCCGCGGCTTGTAACTGTAGCTATGGTCATGTAAAATTCCAAGTAGTCAGAATACAGATAATGACCTGAGATTTGATAAGTTTTCTACCTAAACTGACAATCCCGAATCCCGTAGGACTTAACGGCACAAAGAACACCCAGACTCGGGAGAACTATTTGTAGATCACACAAACAATAATCTCGTGTGTGGAATCGATTACATTCGGTTGAGTGGCATAGCAACCAATTAACTTATTTTCGATTGGTGACACTTATCTATTCAAAGAAATAAGTTAGCAAAAAAGATCCAACCAACTTCCATCCCAAATTCCCGATGTCTAAGCCAATATAGCGCTATTTTGGATTTTTAAAGACGTACTAGTCGATGTTATTAAAACTGCAAAAACTATCTCATTTTTAAAATAGTAATGACTACAACGTAATATTGTGTGATCAAACTTTCAGAAACTTCACGTGGGAAGTTGTTTGGATGTTTTATGCTTAATAAGTTTCAGTTCTTGCATTGTTATATTTTTTATCGTGTGGAAACCCCCACGGGTCATCACCAGTGATATGTCGGAACCGAACCAATTAAAACCGGAATGCCATAGTGTTAGGCCCCTAATACATATTGCATCGCCTAAGCTAGCATCCTAGCGAACACACTCCACCTTGGCGGCTGGACGCTTTTTTGAGTGCTGGAAGAGCGAGAAAGTGGGTTCATCTAAATCATTTAAAAAAGCTGGTGACACGTTGGTCACAGACCGAGGATATTTCAAGAGGCGGCGAGGCTGGCCAACAGTGAAGTTTCTCTGATGGTCGGGCGCATCGAGGTACTAGGCTTACGGGTGGCCCTACGGCGGTTCGTGGTCAATTTGATCCTCGTTCCGGTTCTAGCCCAGATGAAGTTTCTGGATCTGATCATTGGCACAAGGTTGAGCTTCGACGAGTACTGCCGACATCTTGCTCCAAAGCGTCCTTTCTGGGGCAATTGCCCAATTTGGGTGAACCCAACATCGCTAGAAGACGAGGGTTGTCCGGTCAATGGCACTGTACGGTGCACCACCAGTGTGGGCGTAGGCTCTGACCGCTCAGAACAGGGCCCGCCTTTGGCGCCCTCAGAGGGTATTGGCGGTTAGAGGTATACGCGGTTACCGCACCTTATCGACGGTTACGGCGTGTACGTTGGCCGGGACACCCCCGTGAGGTTTGGAGGCGGTAGTGCTCACCGAAGTTCATCGGCGGACGGCTGAGTTCGGCGTCTGAAGAGCTACGCGAATGGTGTAAGGCCGCTTGCTGAGCCATTATGGCTCATAGATAGTCCCGGCTGGAGGATCCGTCCCCGCTTGGGAGACGCAATGTCGGGCCCTAACTGCATTCTTCGGGAACGATATCTCGCTACAGACATATCTTCTGTCGGCTACCGCGCTCGCATCCTTTTATGAGAGGCGGCGGAGAGGACCCGGGAGGAAAATCTCTACTTGGATCCAGGCGGCTGAGGCGCACCTTCCTTGTGGGCAGGCACTAAGAAGGGGTCTTGATTAATAAAAGCTGTACCCGGATCCCTCCTATTTTGGGCGTAGTATAGCACACCGTGTGGTTTTAGCTGGTTCGATTACGACACACGCCCTCACCGGAAACCCTATGTGGGTTGAAGGCCCGAGGGGGTTTTCACACGTACAAAACAAAGGAACGTCTGGAACAAGTGTTCATGGGTATTAATATTAAAGAATATATTAATTGCCATTAACAATACTATTATGAGATCACTAAATTCGGCAGTAAATTTAGTAATAAATATTAAAACAAATTTAAAATCTGTCATGGCTACAGTGTTAATGTGTTAACTATTCTATTATTAAAGTATATTTTATTGTATTGACTAAAAATACGTGTACGGTCAAAATCGACGATGCGGCTAATTTAAGGATATCAGAAACATATATTCTGCATTATATGCAAACACAGTGTAGAAGAATCGTGACCCATGGAAGTCTAGCTTAATTATTTTAAAGTCATTGCCCTGCGAAAATATGCAAAGGTCCTTGTATTTGTATGCTTTGCTATTCACTGCGAAGTTTTATAGATGTGTAACATCTTTCCTCTCGCTTTAATGCAACATGAGGAAGCGATTTCGCGATAAGGTACGGAGTAACGGTAAGTAACAGGAAGCCGGCTAAGCGCGCCCACAATAAAATCAAAAATGGTTTGACCAATGAACGCGAGCGGTGCCAGAGTTAGCCGTCAGATGGTAGGTGAAATGTCAGATGTTACACATCATATCCGATTAATGTAAGACTTGCCTGTTTTTTTTTCACTTTTTAAGTTACAATTTTTAAGTTTTATTTTGTTTATTTTATAGAAATATATACATATGTATAAATGTTACCCTAGAATCCCGTATCCTTCGATACATTATCTTTTATATTGCAATACAGGTAATGGCACATTATACTGTCACCATAACGATGCCACTTTAAACTAGCAATTATTTAGCCCTTAAATCGTGTCGCGTATTTCATATTTTCAGTATGAAAAGCTAACGGGAAGTCAGCTGGCTTGCTTGCATTGCAAGTTAACACTTGAATTGGATTTCAATTAAACAGCTTCCTTTATATAATCCTACTTCTTTATTGTCAAGAATTCTCCTACTGCCATTGTCCATTTACAATCCGTCATAATATCTTATAAAATCCTTCACTTGTAATAACCAATTAAAGACTAGTCGTGTACCCTAGATCAAACGGTACCATCAGTATTTTATTTACCGCTGCAAGTTGTTCTGCGCCTTTAATTTTTTACGCCGTAGTGCTTAAAGCCAACGCTCCACTCGTTTACCCATGGGCTCGCACTGCGTGAACTTCGCATCCGCGTAGTTAGCTCGCTGTCTACTAAAGGCCGAGACATAACATGGGCAGGGTGGGAGAGGTTTCACGCATGCGCAGATTGTAATGTACTATTTAATATTTAAGCTAACACGCCGCGTCGGCCTCCCTCCCCGCCCGCTCTCTGCACCTGCAACGTCGTTGTGTTGCGGCCTTACTGTTACGGTGCCAGTATAATGTACTATAACATTCACTATGTTGTGGACATGGTTACTTAAGTAATGCATTAGACAATTTTCACAAAAAAAAACCTTGTTTTCTACGGGAATTCAACCCCTTTTATTATGGATTTATTTATTAGTCAAACTTTGAGCAATAGATTAAAAATTATCGAATTAAGGAATACGAGGTAAGTTATAAGAAAAATCTTGTTTATCGCGATAAATTAATTAAGCATTTGTTACACACCACTGTCTACTGCAACCTCAAAATCTCCTCGGTCCTCCATCCATCCAGGTCAGTGTGCCCGGTCGGTTCTTGTGAAACAGAGCTGCGCAAAAATGTAGAACCGTAGCCTGTTAGAATTTATTATTTAGAAAAAAAATCTTCACATCATCTAGGCTTTCAAGAAAATATTAATATAATGTAGTCTTCTTAAAAAAAATACTTATTTGTATTTTATGCCTGCATAGCGTTCCACAGTGTGTCATGACAGCCGACTTGCGACCATTTAAATCTTACATACTTTTGGGAATAAAAATTAATAGATATGAGGCCTAAAGAACTTTTTGTTACGTTTTTGTTTTAAAAAATAGAGAAGAAACCGTAGAGAGAGAAAACATCATCTTTTAATATTTTTCTTACATGACGTCAGAATAAACTTGAACAAGATCTGTTATGATCTGATCATTGGTTATATTAAAAGTTTTAGTGAAACTTAAACTTTCACTCACTCAAGTTACATAAAACTTTTAATAATTATTTTCTCGACTCTTTTACAACACCATTTCCATACAAGTATTTAAAATACGTACAAACGCTCTATTTTACCGCTCTTTCGTTCTTTAACCGCGGAAGCAATGAAAATATCCATTTGTTTAACTATTAAACTTATAGGCTTTATATAACTTATATAGCCTTATATAACTTATGTAAAAAAAAAAACTACCACTTTCACACAACGCCATCTAGTCCCAAACTAAGCTGAGCTTGTGCTATGGGTACTAGACAACTGATATAAATACATATATACTTTTTTTTTTAAATACATTCATATTATACATAGAAACACCCAGACCAAATCAAACATTAAAAGTTCATGCACACAAACGTTTGACTTGAGCGGGAATCGAACCTGCGACCTTTAGAATAGCAGTCTGTTACACAAACCACTACGCCATCCGGTCGTTTATATGTAGGTAATGCTAATAAATTCAATAAGTTTTATTTTTTTAATGATAATTTAATATAGATTTGCTTAAGGTCAGTGACCTCACAAAGGAAAGTAAACATAAATATAGTATAGGTAAATCTGACAATTCTTTATCTCACCTAAGCCCATCAAATAGACATAAACCAGACGTGACCGCAACTCCGCTCTTATAATTCACTGTGCTGAACCGAAGAGAAAGAAAAGCACTGATGGAAACATTGAATCTAAACCAGATTGATGTAGGCATGGCGCAGACTATTCTTTCTTACCAATATCTTAGACATCAAAACAGCTGTGTACAATGCGGTTCAATGTTTTCACAGTGACGCGCAATACATATAGAAGATAAAATGGGGTTGACATGTCTAAATAAACATAAACCCCTAACCAACAACAGATATAAAAGA